TTCTTTTAACCGGCGCCGTTTTAAAGTAGACACCAAACCAGGATTGACGCTTGATTAAGCCGGATATCAAAACGGAAGGGATTTTATCCAATGGGAAATACATTTCTGGTTCAATTTTTCCTATTTCGTTGATAACGTAAATGTATGACTGTTGAAAATTTTGGGCAAATTTAGAAAATTCGGGGTGGGAATTATGATTTAGGCCGAAGTGAATTTTGGTGGGAGAATTTGTCCCTGATCTCCATAACGGATGAGGAATTACTGCATGCGGAAAATGAGACGACGTTGTATATGGTCGTAATCCGGTCTGATTTAGGGAAGAGTAAATTATTTCTATTTTCTGATTTAAAATCAGCGTTAGAAACGAAACTTTAACGGAATGATGCATTTTTTTGTTACATGTTTAAGGCTTGACTTCGCTTGTAAACTAAATACGAACATTAAACCTTTAAAGGGAAATCTTGTTACTGAATTTTATTTACCCATGTATGTACATAAGTGTATTTTTTTGTATTGACCATTTTGCGTCAGAATTTCATATCGGCAGGCCCCGATTTAGGGGCGGGCAACACGGGCGGTTGCCCGGGGCGCCAAATCCTGGAGGGGCGCCGCTAGGCGCCCCGGTTTACACTAGATATAATTGAATTTTCCAGTAGTAAGATTGGAAAATCTTTGCCTAGATTTAATGTTTATTTTAATAAAGTTCGAACAACTAATCGCGAATATTCCGATGGGCGGATGACCAGTGCCATTTTTTAATTACAGGTTTTAAATTTTTGCTCCCCATTCTAAATAAATGCAAGTAAACTTTACACAGGGTTGAGGCAAATAAAGTATGACGAAACAATTGGCTAAACTTTACCCAACGGTTGTAAAAAAAATAACAGCCGTTAAATATATTTTTCACGGGGGTGAATAAATTTACACAAGGATTGAGTAAATTTACCTAATTACTATAATCTGTTTTTAATCAACCGAGGGTACTGTTTGGTAATTTCATTAGAGTGCATTGGCGCTTTTTCTAAACGACGTTGTTATCCCTAATTGCATTAAATGTTAAGCATAACTTGTGGTATATATCAAAGCAAAAGTAACACCATCGGAGTAGGGGATTCAACGCCAATTTTTGAAAACCAGAGAAAAACGGTTTCCGAAGAATCCCGAAATCGGTTTTTACAACTCTAAAAAACCGGAGTTTTGTCAAAATTGTTTGAATTATTTAGACGATATTGGATATCCAATTTTGACGCCATTTAAACAAAATAGACAACACGCATGCTTACAATTAATTCCTGCGTTTGTTTAGCAGTATAAGTTATTTGGGGTTCATTTACGAATTTGTCGGACTGAATGGAATTAAATTGATTCGGTAAGAGAACGTACGATTAATTTACTCCTCTGTTCGTCCATGTAAACAGGAACCATAATTATAGATATTGTTGGGTCTTGAGATTTTGTATAATTCAAAAAGCCGAACGAAATCCAAAAAACAGTGCCTCTAAAAAACGACGTAAATTATATTTTTCAATAAGCCTCGAATATTCTAATCACGCAGATACATGTTTATGTAGATTGCTTGAAATATTGCAAAAATCAGAAAAGTTCTAGTTTTCTTATAACGTTTGGTTGAAAATTACGAATGCATATTTCCCAGTATGATATTATGATCAGATATGCGATCCTATTTGGGTATTCAAGAAATTGCCAAGGCATTGAATGACACGCTGGCCTTTATTTATTTTTTATTCGATCTCATTTCCAAGTTCTAGGAATTTGAAAAGTTTGCGTGGGATAAATCTCAAAGCAGCCCAGTAAACAGTACTTTGGTGTAATTTTAAGAATAACAGAAGGCTCCGGTTACATTAGATTAATTAAGGTCTTCATAATCATATCATATTGATATTTAGTAGAGATACACCGAGTACTCGGCCGACTTGGCGAGCATTTTTACTACTCTGACTCGGCCCAGTATTGTTGCCCCACTCGGCCGAGTATTTTCTATTTTTTTTTTTTTTTCATTTTGTACCACATTATCTATGGAAGGTCTGTGTAATTGATTTCCTTGCATCTTGAGCTTTGAAAAACAGATCTCAAAACATTTTAGCATATTCTAAGCGGTAATTCATGAGCGACAACGAAATTCACGAATTCCTTGTAGTACAAGGCTTGTACTGTAATGGATCTCACCAGAACAGAAAATGCTCTCCGAGTTTGGCCAAATTAGTTTCAATCGATCATAGATTTAGTTGGTATCACATTTTCAAAAGACCGGTTGGCACAGGGTGGCATATGTATGTGGAATGTAGAAATTTGCTTCCCTAAGAACAAACCACGTCAATTTGGTTAGGTTTGGTTAGGTTAACCTCAAACCATCCTTTTTGGAGTGCAAAGTTTGTGCATATTAGACCGCGTATTTCTTTGTACGCAAATATTTCCACCAGACCTGTAGAATTGTAGGGTCTTTAACAAATTGCATGTGTATTAACTATATAGGGGATCAATTGATACTAATTCCGTCAAAATTAGATAGAATACACTGGGAGATATCCATTATTATTAGATTTTTCTCGACTGTTATGAATTACTCGGTACTCGGCAGACCCTTAGTTTACACGACTCGGTGCATTCCTAATATTTAGCTAATCCATTTATTATGGATGCACATACTTATTTCCCCAGACATTATGTAGAGGAATTAGTGTCTTTGAACTAGCTTGACCTTTTTGTGAATATTTCTAATGCATGATGGTACGTTAGGGGTCTTAAACGTATGACACCATAATCCATTTTCAGTATATTTAGGGCACAAGATATAATTTTGGAAAAACGGAGAAAGCGGATAAACCGGGTTTTCATCGAAGTGTCCGATTCTGAATCCCCTAAATTACTAGTCGTGGCATACAGCCTAAAAATAAGCTTTCAGGTCAAATCCTGTGACCCTAGACTTGACCTGTTTCATAATTTTCAAAAACAAGAACGTCATAGAACCACAATCTTCTGTGACTACCACCCTGCAAATTTCCAAGCAGATTTTCTATCGAACAATTTATTCTGCTACTCAATGTATAGGAACCGATCATTAGTTAACCCTGGTATGTGAGCCTGATTTATGTATTTGTTGAGATAATGAAGATTCACAATTGCACGCATAAGACCCAGATGTCAACGCTGCCGATCTCACGCCGCCGCGACGCCATACGCCGATGGAATTTTATACGTCACTGCGGCCGACAAATCTAATACCCTATTCCTTCAACATTGAGACGCCGGGTCGTGCCGAAAAAACCCCAAAATTGGCGCCGCCGCCGCCAAATTAGTCAGCGTTGACCTCTGATAAGGCCTACGTACATACATATTTGATTGAGTAAAGAATCCGACCGCGAGCGCCGAAGGCGCGAGCGGCTTGGGGCGCCTTGATTTTTTGCCCGGGTAAGATTTTTGGCAAGATCGGGGCCTGCATATCGGTAACGGCCTGAGTAATTATGGGGACCAAAACATAACGGGATATGAAAGTGCAAGCGTTCAATATCATTGTTTAGAAAGGAAACTTCAAAATTTCTGTTTGAATGTTTTGCCTGATGTTTCTGGGTGTGTCATGTTTGAAGAATTTGTCAAGCGTAATTTTCTTATTGCTTTGTAAATGTTTAAAGTATCCTACTCGAATTTTGTGCATAAAGTCAGAATTAAATTAAATTCGGTCGGCAAATACATACATATGTACATGTTTATTAAACACCGGCAGAAGTGTTGTCTATGGAAATGTTGGAAACAATTCAAGTCGAGACACAAAATAAATAAACAAATAAATAAATATCTCGTTTTTAGTATGGTAGTCATGCAATGTGACTTACATATTTATAACATACATAACTTGTAATACATACATACATATAGGTAAATTTTTAATATGTATGATCTTCAAATCTCTGTTAAGTACATATCTCCTAATTTTTCATTTTAATATGTAAGAATATTAAGTAAGTAAGCAGTCTCTAAAATTTGAAAACTTGCCGGAAGGAAGGAGTTTTTCAATTAAATAAATATAAATTAACTTGTTAGACATCATTATTACCGTGACGTTAAAATGTGTCTGGGTGTCAGAATTTTAAATCGTATAATTTGCAGTGCCATCAATTATTAAAAAAATATGAAAACTGCATTGTATTTATTTAGTTAATATGAGAAGCATACCTAAATATGTAAATAAGTATGTAGGACTGATTAATCAGTTATCACACCAAGTTAATCATAATGAGGCAATTTTTGGCTGGCAATGATATGTATGTACAAATTAACAAAATATGTCAATCGTGCGTAAACTTTGAGTGATTAACATTTAAAAAAATATTACCACGATACAATAATCTTTTTACTACACATCACGCAAAAAAGGCGAAGAGAGATGAAAGAAATCCGGTTTTGATAGTAAAGTGTTTACCCCATGACCATGCCCATCGTCAATCAAGGTCTGTGTTACGAGATCTTTTTATTCGGCATGCTCACCTCAAATTGGAAGCCACACATAAATAATCATGCACATAAATATTTTTATATATTTACTACGGGCAATTTAAATTATAAGGATATTTTACTTCTTTGTTTTTGTAGATATGTAAATACGTATAGACATGTTAATTGCGAGTATTAACAACGTTCGCAAAAAATAAAGTTCGCAAGTTCGCCAAAAAATTTTTGCCTGAAAATGCATTCATCAACTTGTGCGTTTCCAAGGCTAGTGGATATTTAGTTCCATAATATATTGCTTCTCTTCAAAATTACGGTGCGATTGGGAACATGCGTAGTTATAATGAATGTCCTCATAATTTCTAACAGGATTTAAAAAAAGTCGTACTTCTAAATATTTCACACTTATAAATTTCGATTTCTTAAAACGATGAGATTTGACGTGCCTACCCCGTTTAATTTCTTGCTCTTGAAAACTATTTCATATGCAGGTAGATACGTCGTCTTCGAAAGTGAAATCCTGTCGCATTAGTGCATGATCACCACACTGCCTAATTTCTCTTTCCATCCTTAATCAGTGCATAAGTATGGATGTACGTACATACGGTACCAATTTTCGATGAGGTAACAGACTTGTTACGGAAGTCAGGAAATAATTATGTAGTCGTTTAGTTTACTATTTTGCAGTCTATCAAATAAGGTGCAATGTGTGTGCTGAAAATTTTATTTTGATTTTACAATTTTTTCAGAAATCTGTTAGCTATTCCAATTTCTTTGAGAGATTCATGTTTTAATTGAATGGTGAAAGATATTAGTTAAGCATCATGTCAAAGTTTAGTTCAGTGTGGGTCTTAATCGTCATCTTCATGATTAGTTGGACCAATGGAATTGGATACTATAGTTTAAAACGGCTTGGTAAGTGTTAAAGAATTTTTAAAAATGTATACATTTTTCAACAATTGGTTGTCCAATCAGGAAAAACTGTTTTATCTGAACACATTTCATGTCATGAAAATGCAAAAAAAAATTTGTAATGTAGTTCACAAAAGATTGCACAACATTTTACACAAATTTTGATTGCATGTGCGTAGTCTATGGTAACGTTTTAAATTCCGTAAAATCCTAAACTGAGAAACTTTTACGAAATTTTACAAATATTTCTAAGGTAAATAAGCTACCGAATTTTTGAAAACTTGCTCAGATCAAGGGAATCTCTTTACTTTGTAAAAGATTGTAAAATTATTTGCAAAAGTAACAGATTTTACAAGTTACCAATGACTGCAAGGATTTTGTAAATACTAAATTTTTCAGGGGAGTTTAACGTCAACCGTGAATTTATAACGATGTCTGGCGTCTCGAGTGGGGGGACGTTTGCACAACAAATGTTTGTCGCTCATTCCACCCTGATTTCGGGAATTTCCGTATTTTCTCATAGTAAGTATGAAAGATTTGCAAATTAGTTCAAATTGCAAGAATGATGTGTAATAATGATTTAACGAATTTTAGCCTTTTACCGATGCGGCCCAGGAAATGGGATTCTCCGAGATTATGACGCCGCTTGTACGACGGCGGGAAGACGGCATTTTTGGTCCAAGACGTACAGTCCAAAAAAGGCGATAAAAGATATCCGCACCTACTTTAAGAAAGGTCTCATCGACGATCCGCACTACATGGGGGGCAAACATTTATACGTTTTTGCCGGCACGAAGAACCATCTCTTTACAGTTGGTTAGTCGCATATTTACAAATTCACATATTTGCATAGAAAATAATTCCGCAATTCACACTGTCCTTGGTATGTAACTTGTAAAATTGGTAAAATTTGTTAAGCAATTTTACAAAGTTTTAAAAATTAAAATGCTCACTTGATCGGTGCCAATTTACAAAAATTTGTTAGCAAATTTTCCTTAAAAATATTTGTAAAATTGTGTAGTATCTTTGTAGAGCTTACAAATTTTACAATGTTATCAAAGCCTGTGTGAATTGGCTCAATTGAACATGTCTATTTAAAATCCAAGATTAGATTGAAACTGTAAAATTTATTAAAATCCATGTCCGATAAATATGTAGATCAGAGCCTGAAGATTCTTGAAGTTTTCAAACCATTTATTGCCGACTCGAGTGTGATTAAGACGCGGATAGCTAAGGCAAATTTAACGCTGGTAAGTAAACGCGAGGATCATTTTTTCCATCATTATGAATTTCTGAATTATCAAAATGTTTCAAAATTTCAGCCCAACAAGGGCAAAGAACTACCGGCCTGTTCTGCTCCACCGGATAAGTTTGGTGTAAGCAATTGTGGATTTTCCGGAGCGTTGGAATCACTACAATTTATGTTGGGGCATGACGCCGTGAGATCGAGCAAAGGTACACTAAATTTATTTTTGATAAGCACTTATCTCTGGTTAATTAATGCATTATGAAATTGTAAAATTCAGGTCATCCTAAATTACAACCACTCATCCAGTTCGACCAAACCGAATTTTTCGAAAACGTTGGACGCCACGACATGGACACGGTGGGATATCTTTATGTTCCCAAAGTGTGCAAACATAACGAAATTCCGTGCTTGTTACATTTCTACTTTCACGGCTGCTCTACCGGGAGGTAATTTGAGACACACTCTAAAAAATAATTCTGCTCATTTGAAGAGTACATGCATTCTGAATTCTAGATAAATTAAGAAAACTGTGCCAAATACAGAGTCACGCTAACTTGATAAAAAGTAAAGTTTACGCCGGATTTAGTCTAGTTTACTTAATTTAGAATTTGGAATGCACTCTTCTACTCTTCAAAAGGGCACAATTATTTTTAAGAGAAATTTACCCAATTTTCTGGGTTATAAAACTAGGAGTGAGTTTCCCCAAAATATTTATTTGTTCTTTAAATATTTACATTTTTTAGGGAATTTGTCGGTCCTGGCCACGTCGTACGGAGTGGATTTCTCGAAGTTGCGGAAGCGAACGGGATCATTGTCGTTTTTCCACAAGCAATTTCCAGCCGTGAAAATAATATCGGGTGTTGGGACACTTTTGGCGTGACGGGGCCACTTTACGGTAAATATTTTTATGCCTTGTACATAAAGTAGATATTTAAGTAAAAAATTGAATTTCTATACTTTTAAAAACAAGCTTACCCTTTTTAAAATTAAATGCACTCTAAATTGTAAATTAAGCTAACTATGCTAAATTCGGAGTGAAGTTAAAAAAAAAGGTCGTCTTTATTGATTCCCAATTTTAGCCATTACATTTGAATTACAAGTGAACCAAACCTCACATAAGTGAGAAATAGATGGTCACAGGTTCCTAACTATGGTGCCCGTAGTGCAACGGACACCGCACAGACCTGTGCAACAAGTCAGAGAGGAAAACCACAAGGGAAAAAACTCTCTGCCAGTACTGGGAATTGAACCCAGAACCTCCATTCGGCTTGAAGCACAGTGTGATGACCACTCGGCCACCACTGCCTGCCTATACGCTTTACGCAAAGTTAACTTGATACGAGTAAAGTTTACTGTGGATTTAGTAAAGTTTAGTCAATTTAGAATTTAGAGTGGAGTTACTTTTCAAACGGTGGCTTATTTCTAAGAGTGTAAAATTTTACAAAAAAAATCCTTTTCTAATTTTTAAATCAACTCGTCTCTTTCAGCAACCCAGCAAGGCGGTCAGGTCGCCGTGGTGAAGAAAATGCTGGACCGAATTTTGACTAAACGTTTCCCAAAACCTATTCTTCTTAACGAAGGGAAAACTTGGGTTGGAAAAGTACTTACAAGTTTTCCTTTCATTAAGTAATTTGGGTCCGAGTCCACATTAATGAGACATAACTTATTCATGGACTAGTAAGCTAATATACTGTATACTGTATGTAAGAAAGTGGGTAACTACTTAGGATTAGTAGTTTAGTCTTGCATGAGGCGCACATTTTACAAAAGTTTCCTATTTAGAAATGTATGTACATATGTACATACATATGTAATTTGCAAGGGTTGTAAGTAGTGAGCAAAAATATTTTATTTTATCCTGCAATATTACTGATTTTACATTTATATTTATAATTGTGGACATACTTCTGTAATGTATATTTTTCTATTTAAACGAGATATTCATAATCCTAAAATGGGACTTTGTCGTACAAAATATGATAATAAAATTATTAAATACAAAATTGTAAAATGAGTATGCCTAATACGACATGTACATACACTCTTATAAAAGTGTGCGTACATAGTAGGGTTGCCGCGGGTAGCGAAAATGCTACCCGTTACCCGACCCGCTACCCGCAGCACAACTACCCGTACCCGCACGGGTACCCGTGCGGGTACCCGTTGCCCGCTACCCGTTATGAGAATTGGGTTAAAAACTAACCAAGCATGAGAATAAGTTTGATTTGATCAATTATTTTTTCATTTGGGTTGATATGTATTTTGAGATAATACTATGCAAGTAAGGCATGCTTTTTGGCTTACAATTGGATCGTTTTTCAAGCTATGTATGTGGGTATTCTTAGAGATTTATGATTCATCAAAAAATTAAACCAAAAAATAGGAATTACATCGAACTAATTTTCCCATTGAATGAACAGTTTAAAGGAAACTATTGCGGGGGCAGAGTTCAAAGTCGACCATGGACTTCGGAAAAACCACGACAGCGGGAAACCAGGAAAAAGATACAGAACATTTACTTAAAAATTAAACTCTACCGCCAATATTATTCGTCGAAGGGGCCATTCAAAGGAAAGATACATAAGTATCACGCGATTCCTAATTTTTGGCGTGACTTTTTGATATATGCTCGCTGGGTAATCTTGGTTTAGCTTTAAAAAGGTTCAATTTTTGTTTCTATTTTTTCAAATTTTGATTTAAATGAAGTTTTCATTCAAAAAATTGTCTACAAATAAATTTTTTGTCTTCAATCGGATTAAGATTTTTTATCTTCAAAGCACAAATTAAAATCTCGGCAGTCTTACATAAATAAATACACACAAATACAAGTAAAATTATTACTGATATTTTGAGCGGGCAAAGCATGCTTGAGAAACAATATGTAATTGCTCCGCATTTTCTGGACGAGAAAAATATTTGAGGCCGGCGTAGGCCTCTGTGCCTTCCGTAAAGACACGCACGTTATAAACGTTTTTTGCTGGCAAATGAAAAATTTTGAAATGGAAAAATAATAAATTGACGCTTTTGTTGGTAAATGGACTAACTTGCTGCTAACTTTCTTTGTGAACTGATTTATGTTGAAAATTAAATAAAAACTGAACTACCCGTTACCCGTGCGGGTAGTTCTCGCTACCCGCAGATAACGGGTACCCGCAAAAATCGTGCGGGTATGCGGGTAACGGGTACCCGACCCGTTACCCGCGGCAACCCTAGTACATAGATATGTGACTGGGGATAATTTTTTCACCACATGGTGATAAAGTTTGCCCTCTTGGTGACAAAGAGTCACTGGCTGGTGTTAATTTTACCACGATTTGACGGCGGCTGATGTAATGCAAGCGTCAAATTTTTACAGAATGACGTCACTTGTTTATGATCGTTTGACACTATTTATTAACATAGGCATCCATGCGCTAAGCATACAAACATATACGTATGTATGTATACACCTATATGCAAATTAATATGCGCATAAGTACATAAGCATTAAAAAAAATTACAATGGAAGTTAACCTCGAATGATTATTACATACAATTTTGGAAAAATTTATTTTTCAAAATATTTATGAATTTTGGTGCAAAAATTTCTTGGAAATTATTGAGTCCCACAAAGATTTTGGTGGATCATTACTTCTGTATTATTACTCCGCCGGCTTGGCTCCACACTCCTGCATTAAGAAATATTTTTAAACCCTTTACACGGTGTGTGGGTGGGGGTGGGAGTAGGTGGCCCCACATTTTTTACATATTTGTACATATGCATACCTTGCTTGCCGCTTCTTTAATGCATTTGTCGAATTTTTGCGCTTCTATGCAATCGTCTACGAGCTCGAAGCGTTCTAAAATTAAAAAATGTTTCCATAATTAGTCCAGAAATTTACAAGATTAGACTTTTAAATTTTATGCAACATATGTATGGAACATTCATCAATTATGTAAGGCCAAAATTCGCGATTTTCTAGATGTCATTGGAGCCTATGACCCCGCAACATAATTTATGAATGCTCCTTTATGAAACTTACGTTTCGGATCTACTCCACACTTTTTTATGGCTGCGACCTGAATTTCGATGATCCACTTGTCATTACGGACGTTGGGGTCGGTGCTGTTGACGCTGTCCCAGAATTCCTTGGTCACCACGTCCAATTGGTAGAGGCGAGTGGTCGGGTCCACGAATCCCATCTGCTCCGCGACACAGAGGGCGACACACTGCGTAGAATAAGTTATTAAGTGGGGTCAGGCACTTTATGGTGCCGTTTTGTCCGTCCGTCCATAAGCAATCAAATGCCCTTTTCCTCACTGTGCTTCAAACTTTTACTTGTTGGATAATGTAGTCAATAAAACCAGACCGCTCCCTCCCCCATGGGGCGAGGGGGTGCGGTAAAAAATAAATTTGCATATGGGGTGTCATTTTAAAGGAAATTTCACAACGAAATCAACGCTGTCAATATTTTCGACCTATCATCAAACCATGATCGAGGGACGAGGTCAAAGGTCATACTTTTCATGATATCTCGTCATTTTACATTTTATTGTATAACTCCACTTTTTAATATTTGCTTTGACTAAAAAAATTTGAGATGGATTCCATTTTATTAAGTAACTCACCTCTTTAGTAAGCTGCGCTTTTCCGGGGACGGCCAGGGTGCAGTATGGAACCGTGCCGAAGCCCTTGTTTATACTTTCCATGGGGAGGTTGATCTTCGTGCCTTTACACTCACCAAAGTAGCCCATCTCCTTTTCCAACTCGGCAATTCCAAAGTTGAAATCGGCTCGAGCCCAAGTCACCTATGCAAAAAATGGGTGTAATAATCCACTCTGACATTAAATTCAGAGGATGACCTTAACATTGCAGAATAGGGGAGGGATGGGTTTATATAATATGAGCAGATATACATAACCGTGGGGACATAAAACTAAGGTAATTTTCTTACTTCAAAATTTCCCTGATAAATTATTGTTTTTTCTTCTGGAAATTTTGAAGTCAAAACATTCCCTTATTTTTTGTGAGTGTCCCCCTGTCCCCACGCTGGTCCAGTTAGAATTTTGGGAGAAGGAATGCGCTTACCAGGGTGACCAGCAGAAGGGAAGAAATTCGGAGGAACGTCATTTTACAATTTTGTTGAGCTGGGTCTAGGGCTGGAGGACGACTGGAAGGACGAGTGGTGTAAGCGTCGCAGTTTTTTAATTTTTAAATAGCCTCGTAATACGTCATTTTAAAAATTTGAAGTATGCATGACGACAGTAAAGAAACAATGGTTCCATTGTTCATGGAGGTCAACTTTGCCAAGCAATGCACAACTTTATTTTGTTAAATTTATTTGTACACAGGCACTTACCTACCCTAACCTTCCTCACTGCACGAAACCAAGTTTCTTATTTTACTCTCTTAAAAATAATGCTACCTTAGTGATAAGTAGACACACGCTGAATTTGATATTAAGTAAACCATGAAAAATCCATGGTAGCGTTAAGTTGTAAAATTTTAGTAAACTAAATATACTAAATTCAGAGGCTGGATATGGAGCACATATTCTTTAGAATAGCTTACTTAATATAGAATTGAGGCTGCATCTACTCTTCAAAAAGGCAACAATATTTTTAAGAGTGTACAGTATGTAAGTTATTCAATGCCACAATGAAAAAAAATATATCGGCATCATCACGTCATTTTAAATACTTAAAACCCAGTACAAAAATGTTAAAAGTATCTACCGACAATTTTCTCGTAGGCGATTTTTAATGTCGGAGACAGGTAAGGTCAGTTTTTCTGAAAAAATTTGACTCGAAGAAAAGAAACTTCCTATTTAGATAATTTTTAGGAATTTGCAATATTTTCTATTGGGTGCGACACGTCTTTAGAAGAAAATGATCGTACGTGTACGATTTTTCTATCGGCGACAGGATTTTTTTTGTGTAATATTTTTAGGCAATATTTGCCAATATTTTTTTCGTAACAAATCATTAATGTTATGTGATTTATACATACATACATACATACTTATGTACATATCTATAATATTGAAATATCTTTCAAAACCATATATTCGATGTCTATTTATATGGTTTTGTATCTTTAAATTCTTTGAATTTCGCCGTGTTCACGATTTTAGCCTCAAAACCGTTTTTGGGGAAAAATTCCTGTTGGCGTCAAAAAAATCGTACATGGTCGTATGAAAGCTCATTTTTTCTATGGCTTTGCCGCAGCCAATAAAAAATATTAGAAAGTCCAAAAAAATATTCATTCAAGTTTTCGTTTTGGCCTATTATTTTGAAGTACTAAAAAATTCTGACCTTTGACCGGACAGGGACCTTAAAAATCGGCAACGAGGAATTATGAATTTGCCAATTAGTAGGGTTGCCGCGGGTAACGGGTCGGGTACCCGTTACCCGCATACCCGCAGGATTCTTGCGGGTACCCGTTATCTGCGGGTAGTGAGATCTACCCGCACGGGTAACGGGTAGTTCAGTTTTTATTTAATTTTCGACCACAAAGAAACTTAGCAGCAAGTTAGTCCATTTACCAACAAAAGCGTCAATTTACATATTATTTATAAAATTCAAAATCAACTAACGTTTATATCGAGCGTGTCTTTTCGGAAGCCACAGAAGCTTACGGCAGCCTCAAATGCTTGTCACGTCCCGAAAATGCGGAGAAATTATTGTTGCTCAAGTATAATTTGCCTGCTCTAAAATATCAGTCATACTTTTACTTGTATTTGTGTGTATTTATGAATTTACGAGATTTTAATTTGGGCTTTGAAGGTGAAAAAGACTAATCCGATCGAAAGCAAAAATTTTATTTATAGACAATTTTTTATTGAAACCTTCAATTAAATCAAAATTTAAAAAAATCAAACTAAAAATTGAATCTCGATTCAAGTTACACCAAAACTGTCTAGCGAATATATCAAAAGTGAAGTAAAAAATTAGGAATCGCGTGATACTTCCCGTTGAATGTCCACTTTGAAGAAAAACATACGAGGCAAAGTTAAATTTTAAGTAAATGTTCTGCATCTTTTTCCTCCACTGGACAAAAACCATGGTGGATTTTGAACTCTACCCCCACCCCAATAGTTTTCTTTAAACGGGCTATTCAGCAAGCGATAATTCCTAATTTTTGACTAGATTTTTTTATATAGTTCGCTAAGAAATTCTGGTGTAGCTTGAAAAAGGTTCCATTGTAAGCCAAAAGTCTGGTTTCAGAAACATGTGATGACATCTAGCAAATTATGGCATTCGTTATTTAAACAGCATTATCTCAAACTACTTAACAACCCAGATGAGGAAATAATTGATTAAATCAAATTTATTCGGAAGGTTTGTCAGGTTTTAACTTAATTCTCATAACGGGTAGCGGGTAACGGGTACCCGCACGGGTACCCGTGCGGGTACGGGTAGTTTGGCTGCGGGTAGCGGGTCGGGTAACGGGTAGCATTTTCCCTACCCGCGGCAACCCTACCAATTAGTTTATACAACTGTCTGCAAAGTGTCGTAGCTCTACATGCACGGGATCATATCGCAATTAAAAATACGTAAGGACGCCGTCAGTTTTCTTGCTGGCTGTATTTACATACAAATTATGTAAATTTAATATGTAAATACATTCATTAATTCGTACATTCATTAATTCGTATGGTTGATGGCAAAATTATTTATTGAAATGAATGTTCTTGTGAGATTCCAGAGGTAAGAATTCATATAACCTAATTTAATAATTTGAGGTGAACATAAACAATTGTTTCCATCGATTGCTGTGCTCCTATCAGGGGGAATAATATTGAATAGTAATTAAATTTATTAAGATCCGTCTAAATATGTATTGCAATCCGAAGGATATATTGATATGGATATTAGCCGCTTAGTTTTGTGAATAAATATTTTGGTCAAGCAAAGGCTTAAAAGTAATTGACGCGTGTCTGTTTTATTAAATTACTAATTGTAAGGTACATAGCTACATACATAAATACATGCATATATTTGGACTCATAATTACATTTATCTAATTTATAATGAGGTTATCCATGCATAAGTACTTCATTTATACCGTAAAGTACTTGACTAACTAAAAACGAGGGGTTGAACTTGGTAAAAACCTTAACCTTAGTAACATGATTTTTAATGATAAAATCTTACAACGCCTACAAAATCTCGTAACCATCGTAACTTATTTTAACATACGAAGAATACTAATCCTAAGATACATATGAATACACACATCAATAATGCGACAAATCACGGCAACCTTCGTAACTCCGTAACACAATGTATTATTATTCGGGAAGGTGTTGCAAAATTCCTAGGGGGTGTAACCCCCTCAAGATATACATATTTCGGTCCAGGAGAATAAAGTAAATGCATCTAAAACAATTTTACCGACCACACCCCCTGTGGGGGGAGTTACACCCCCAGGGGGTGTGGTTCAGAACTTTTCATATTTTCGGAATCAGAAACTCATGCTCACTCTAAATTCAAAGTTTTTAGCATTATAAAAATTTTCCCATCGAGTTATACCCATTTACATGCCCCAAAACGTGCGTTTCCGGCCGACTTTGAGGGGGTGTAATTCTGCGCACGGCAGCTACCCGACTAGGGTATTTACGGTTTCTCACTGCCACAAGGGGGTACTACAACTTTGCAAGAAAGGTCCGTCGGGTACCTGCCGCAACCAGAGTTACACCCCCTCAAACTTTCTCAAAAAAGTGCCATTTTGAAATTATTAAAAAACATAGATTTTGAATTTTGTGGAGTGCCTACGGGAACAAACGAACTCGCCCAAATGTTTTATAAATTTTGTGTCTTGAATGTACTCCAGAAAATTCAAAATCTATGTTTTTTAATAATTTCAAAATGGCACTTTTTTGAGAAAGTTTGAGGGGGTGTAACTCTGGTTACGGCAGGTACCCAGTGGCCGTGCGACCCCAAATGTTTACCCGGGCAAAATATATTTGAGCGCCCCTAATTTTTCTCTAATTTTCCTCATATTTTCCTCAGATTTATCTCACATGGTTTATATACATATTTTATGCAAATAATTTTTCCGAGGGTGAAAGGTTGTAATCATATTTTAAAATCGTCCAAGAACTAATGATTCGATTTTTAACGAGCACAGCGAGAGAAATCAAAATGTAAGTCTTCTACAGCCGGTATACAAAAGTATTGGTTATTTGCATATTTGTAACTTGTGAATTAGCTTCCAAACTCTGCAGGCAGTTGTATAAACTAATTGGAGAATAATCGTTCGTCGCCGATTCTTACGAAGAAAATGAGCTATCATACGGCCCTATACGATTTTTTTGACGCCCACAGGAATTCTTCGCCAAAAACGTTTTTGGGGTTTAAAATCGCGACGGCGGCGAAATTAAAAGAATTGAAATTCGACAATTAAAAGTCGGCCGGAAACGCACGTTTTGGGGCATGTAAATGGGTATAACTCGATGGGAAAATTTTTATAATGCTAAAAACTTTGAATTTAGAGTGAGCATGAGTTTCTGATTCCGAAAATATGAAAAGTTCTGAACCACACCCCCTGGGGGTGTAACTCCCCCCACAGGGGGTGTGGTCGGTAAAATTGTTTTAGATGCATTTACTTTATTCTCCTGGACCGAAATATGTATATCTTGAGGGGGTTACACCCCCTAGGAATTTTGCAACACCTTCCGAATAATAATACATTGTGCGTAATCGCGTAAACTTACAAAACTTACGAGTTTTTGATCAAACTTCCGAACCCTTCCAGTGTAATTTTTGCTTACAAACTTACAAAACCTTACAAAGATAAAAGGCATGTTTTTATTTCGTAACCTAAGTTTACGTGGTTACGCAGTTACGACAGTTGAAATGAAATGCCTCAATGAATACACGTCCCCAAATAACTTGTTTTCCACTATATTCGAAATTTACCAAAAAATCTAACTCGTCGTCAACAAAAGACTTGAAACCGTCTGTCTCACACAGAATTCCTGCACCACCAGTGGGGTCAACTTTTCCACAAAATTATTTCCAAATTCCAATCTCAACGGCATCAACGCCATTTGCATTCTTCTCTCCAACCCTTTCCGGCATCTCGCCCTACATTCAAATGTACGCCCAGAGAAACAAGTTCGCCTCGAACTTATTTGCATGTTCCGAATGCAACAATTTCATGGCCGTGTAGCACAGTAAAATTTGCCAGCCCGGAACAACAAGCGCCGTGACGAGAAGGATTCGCGATTTTGCGCAAGAATTTAGCACTTTTTCATAAACTTTTAACTCTCTGTATTCCAGAAGGGATTTCAGAAAGGTGGATTTCCTAAATTTCTTAACGATCGCTTGACTCGACAGCCATATGAAGGCGACCCCATGCAACACCACGGTTCCGATGTAGTACATCATGCAGGTGGTTAGTTGTTGAAATGCGATGAATTCCAGGGTCGCCAAAGATAGTAAAGTTATGGTTTGATCTTTTAGAGTAAAAATTAAGTTTTCATCAGAGCAGAGCAAGCTAGAGAGTAGGATTGGTTGACAGGGACTTAGCAAGGTGAGGATTGATACGGTCGTGGCAATTAGTAAACTTGTGATTTCTCCGCAGTAAAACAAGAATTGGATGAGCAGTTGGACTTTAGAGGTTTTAGTGAGACCTGAAAGGTTAAATATCCCTTGTTAATTTATATTTTTGTGCCTCCACGATTTCAAAGGGCGAATTTGAAACCTGTGGTTTTATTTATGAACATTTGCTAAATATAAATATTGGACACTTTACCCTTTATCAAGCTAACCTTACTCTAGATTTAAAAAATGCACTCTTAAAAACCTAGTGTTAACCGTGTCCGATCGGTGTGTACATATATGTGACTTCCCTAAATGGTGATAACGTTTTTCACTGTAAATATGGTGATAAGTCTTTCTCGCATGGTGACAAATTGGTTTACCACTATACGATGAAGTCACATATGTATGTACACCGTTCGGTGACGATTAACGCCTGTTTTTAAAGAGTGTATACATAGTTTACTAAATATATAACTCAGAATTCATTTACTTTGCAAAAGGGTTATATTACTATTCAGCATGTAAAACAAGATGAAACAGCCGATTTAACTAATAGAGAAAGCTATTTTTAAAAATCTATTGCTATCGAAAATACTTAGGTATTTTAAATCATACCAAATTTCTCGTTGGGATGAAGAATCAGAAAAACGACAAATTTCACGATATCGTGATCAATCGGAAGGTCAAATCTTAGTATGAAACCGATCGAGTACATCACAGCTCCAATGCCTGCCTCGGCCTTATCAATTAAACTGGAGGAGTGAGCAAAAGTGGTGAAAATGCGACAAAAACATATCGCCAGGTTAACAAGTAGCGTGAAGATGACAACTTTCCGTGATTTGGTGTCTTGTAAGACTATATTTCCCGTTTTACTGTCCCATTTCACGGGTAAGCATCGATAGTAAGATGCACGATGTAAGTTACGTTTGATAAGAATGATGTCTTCTTTACGCATTTTGGGTGAAAGAAATGACGCGATATTTTAGGAATGTGCGCAAATGTTGATGATTCCTCAGGTTCGGGGGAAACTGACGAAAATTCGTAGGTAAGGAAATATGTACGTAACTAAATTTAATTATCTAGGTCGTATCCATGCTAATAAATAATTTAAGCTTGTGTATAGCGAGAAAGTAATAACATGTTTTTGACGGGTTAAGATATAAATTGTGAAAATATGTACGAATAGTAAACCTCGTCGTTGGATAAGTTGCAATTTTGTATGTATGGGGATCTAGAATTTTTTAAATAAAAAATTGAATTTCTATACCAGTCAAATACATACACTGTTTCGTTTAATAGCGATTTATTTTTTAAACACTTTGTCCATACAACTTCATAATTTCCATCTACACTCTTTGTACAATTATATATCCACAACTGACTGGTTCATAAATATGGAAATATTTGATTTAAGTAAACACCCGTTCAAATTCGACTATGTATATATGGATGTACTTCCAATGTATGTAGATAATTATTTATGTACGTGATAGATAACTTGCAAAGATATAAATGTTTAGCCACGTTGATCAGATTTGTTGATCCTGGGTTCCAATGTTGTTTGACACTTTTATGTTGATGTCATGTTTGTACCACGAGTTCATGAGAAAATTATATACCCACATGACAAAATTGGCATAACAATATTCACATGTGTATCTTATTCAAAAATCCAGGTGGTTTCATCCTTCATCGGATACATATTACGCGCATACACAAACATAAATACATAGCTGGGAACGTCCATATATACCGATTTTTAGATTACCCACCCACCAGTGGCATACCCTTAGGCTTAACACGAGTAAGACAGGCGTCCTAGAAAGTAGCACCCACGCACCATTTGGATTACGTAATATATGCACATACCCTAGATACGTGTACCAAATAAATTAAGCGAAATTGAAGGAAAATGATAACAATTCTGGGTTAAAATTCTATAAAAAGAGTATGCAAGTATATCAAACTGATCAACAGTGAGGAAATAACTCTTCGTAGAAAGTTTAAAATATCCGGGGTTTTACACATACATATGTACAAACATACATATACTTATTTATATACATATACTTGCATATTGTGAAAAAAATATTTGGGGCACATACATACTTAAACTTTAAATAAGTAATCACTGCATTTTCCCATAATTTCTTGGAGGACAGTACGTTAAAGTGTCTCCAATCGGGTGGAATTACAACGACGGAACAAAAACTAGATGACTTGATTCTTTACTACCCGTGACCATTAAAAAGTATAATAATTGGACACGCGAAAATTTGGATAGTCTTGATTCGCACTACAAATAGGGGACCAGGCGTTATAAATCATTCGTTGTAATGGAAGCGTACTTAATTTTTTGCTTCTGGCTGTTTGCGGCCACGATATTCCTGCTTGTTAAGATTTTCGTAAGTTCAAGACGTTTTGGATGTGGTATTTGCACTCTAAAAAATAATGTTACCCTTTTGAAAAGTAAATGCACTCTCAATTCTTCAATAAAAAATTGTACAAAATCCAGGCGAAGTTTTATTCGTTATGAAGGTGACGCTACAAACTCTGGATTTAGAATGGCGTACCTAATTTATAATTTATACCGCGTTTACATAGTTTTCAAGAGGGCAATATTATTTTTAAGAGTGTCTAAATGAGCTAAATAAATATATCTGTAAATTCTCCTTACAATGTGTAATTATTTTCAATTAAATTCGTACAGTTCTCCACTCTAGAAGCACCTAATACTCCTCAAAATCATACAGCACCCGTAGAAATGACCACTATCTGGACGATGGAAAACGAGCAAAAAACGGCACCCGTTTCTCACAATGTTGAAGAGATGCCTGTGCCATCATATTCCCAAGCAGTCGCCAACTTCCCTTCCGTTGAATACGTTAATGAAGTTGATAACTACAAAAATACCAATTATCTTCCTCCACCAAGTTACGAGGAATCTGTAAGAATGAGTGATATTGCAGCACGAGAGTTGAAGATATTTGCATAGAAATTCTGTATAGAAAAATTACAAAATCTATAAATACATACATTTATATAATTTTGTATAAAATAGATCTGTTTTAAGTTACATACATAAAACTTCACGCTTATACATAAATATATACATATGCAATGTAAATAATTTGGTAATAAACATTACCGAAAAGCACAAGTATATGACTCTACCAAAATGGTAATGATAAGTTGTACCGTGTGGTAATGGCTTGGTAATAAAACTATACCATCATGGTAACGAATTTTTACTATCTGGTAAAACATTATTACCATACTTATTACCGAGAAATCCTTATCTGCGTGACTTTACTTGAATATTAAGGGTGTGTACATTGTGCATTAACATGATGTAGATATGTACATACATAAGTAAGTATTTATTATCAGAGTAAACACACTTTGCGATAAATTTACAGCCGTAGTTAGATAATCAATATGATATGCACAGCCAAATATCCGCATTTGTGTGTATCAAGCCAATTCATATGTCGATAGTGGCCCCGGAAAAATACACACTGCACAAAATATGTTCCACCGAGTCAAATTCGACTTACATTTTTCAAATCAATTCTGCAGAATTTCATAAATCACACTTTATCGCTATGGCAACCCTGATTTCAAAAATTTTTGGGAACATTGAACACCTTGAAAACATAAATTTTCGACTTTCTGGAGACCACAATTCTGGAAATATATCCCACAATAAAAATATTGTTGTTACTTGTACAGCCTCAATTTTTAACTTGTTCCACAATACTAACATTACAATTGAAGCGAAATCCAGCAAAATTGAGCTCTGCGAGTGTGCAAACGTTCTCATTTTTGGATCAGATAACGAAATTGTGTTTAAAACAAGTAGTCATTTGAAATTTCATGGTGATGGAAACAATTGTTCGGGAAGTTTAAATAGGAACGTGAAACATGACTGTAACCAGAGTAAGTCCGTACTTGAGAGGAATTCTGACATAAAATTGTCCGGGAATAGGAACAATGTGGTTGCAAAGGATAACACAAATTTGTCCATTTCTGGCGACGGGCATCAAATTATCGTTGAAAATGCCGACAGTCACATCATTACAAGGTGAAGAATAAGATTGCCCTGGAATAAGATGTTATATGTACGGTGTATGTAGATAATTTGGTAATAAAATCAGATATGTGTATGGAATGTGTCACCAAATTGGTTATAATTGTCATCGACATCGTTGACCAACGTGACGTTATAAATCATATGAATACATATATCAAATTACAACGACGCGAGTGGCAAATCATAAATCAGGCAATTCACGTAGGCCATTGTAAAATCTGTAAATTCTGTAAACTTACAAGTTCTTACAAAATTTAGAAATTGAATATTTTTTAAGGTAACTTATGCACTTTACACATTTTTCAACTTCAGATAAAGAGCTTCTTTTTATTTCGTCAAAGTTTGTAAATTTGCATATTTCATGAAACAATTTTACAATTTTTAGCACATAGTTAGAGTGTAATTTTTTACGAAGGATTTTATTTTGGTGCTGAGCAACAGCGATAAAAAATACATGATTTAAACATTTAATGAGTTTTAGAGGTGAAAATTCTTTAGGGATTGAAAAGGAGTCCGACTTCGGGCAGCCAGGTTCCAAATTGATCCGATTCTTGATTTCATACAACGGACAAGCAACAATCAACAAAGATTTTTGTAAGTTGGGAAACATCAAGTTGAAAAAGACATTTGATCGGTGTCACGTTGATATCGAGATTCATATGCCGGAATCAGTCCAAGTCGTCCATAAGACTGCGGGGAAAATCATTGTTTCCGGAATATCAAATACTGGCGAAAAAGAACAACTTACCATAACGGGGCCACAAGTCGATCAAATTTCGCAAAAGATGAACTGTTTCAGGATAACTTTCGACAATACGTCGTGATCGCACATATGTAATCATACAAAGATAACTGATCTCATACATTTCATTTATTGCATAAAGAATGAATAAATTATTTATTCCTTCATTCTTCCAGCAAATCTACATATGCATATAAGTATGTACATAGGTATGTAAGACTAAAGCGTAAATAAAATTTTCAAAATTTTGCCAGGGAATATTTTTTGATTATGAACAAAAACTTACATATTCATTTCATCTTCATGAACAATGAATGAATAATTTTATGCATTATTCGTTTTTCTTAGTGAGGCAAATACCTAACAACGGAAAAAATTTACTAAGTATGCATTTACCCCACCCAAAAAAAGTGACATAAGTCGATTTCTCGGCCATTTCTCAACCGATTTTGATGAAATTTTGCACAGATCATTGTTATTGGATTTAGAAACGATGTACTAGTTGACTTGGCGAATTTTTGATTTTTACCCGAGTTATGGGCGAAATAGAGCAAAAATTTGCACTCGGAGTCACCTTTCCATCCATTGTTCCATTTCAGAGCATCACATTGTCCTAAATTATTGGAAAAAGTTACGCTGATTCCTTCTGATCATTTTAAGATCAAGCTGACCGAAATCGTTTAAGAAATCACGACACTATTCAATTTTGAAAATTAAAAATTTAGTAAAATTACTGTGGATGCAAGTATAATGCGGTGCAATAATGTCGTTGACAACCGAATTACAAGTTTTAAATAAACAAGGTCCCAAAAAATGGGAAATCTTAGTGAGGCAGTGCAATCTCAACTCAGAAATAAAATTAGATTGCAGAATTTTTGCATCACCGCTCTGAACATCATTTTCACTGGATGCACTAAATTTTGCTTATAAGAATGAATTCTCCAATCTTAATTTGCGAATTTAATGCTTTTTTACTAGTGAAAAAGAAATGTGCTAAATTAACTGAGATCAAATATAATGGACCATTATGTTTTAGAAATACACATCCTACTATTAATGGGGTGTATTTCTGAGAGCGGTGATTCAAAAATTCTGCAATCTAATTTTATTTCTGAGTTGAGATTGCACTGCCTCACTAAGATTTCCCATTTTTTGGGACCTTGTTTATCTACTCTACCCTTAATAAATACATGAGGTATGTATATGAAGAAATCCATCTAACCACTCGAATTTTTTACAAAACGAATAACGGATAAAAATTTATTTTCAATTTTTGAATAAATGAATAAGGCATTAATAACTTCGTCAAATTTTTAAATTGAATGAGAAAATATTTTTTTGACACCATCAGAATTATGCAGTGCCCGCAAAATTATTTACTTTATATATGAATTTATGTAGCACTCTGTCCGGAAGAATTCATATATGCACTTCTTAAATTAGCAGAAATTATGGGAACAATAGTGAGCGCAGTCTTGAACCGGTTTCATTTTTCCGTGCTCATTAAATGACCACACGACGCTGACAAGGACACCTTTCATGTCGTTTGGAGCGTCTTCAAATTTGACAATGTTGGCTCGAATCCCTTCTGGCGTCCTTTCATAAGAATTTCCAATCCCTTGAAGTTTTCTCAGCCCGATAATCCCGTCAAGTCCCATTTGACGGAGTAGACCGTATAATTCCGTGGCAAACTGGGGATTAGGCGGGGTGAATTTTTCATCCGCCAAAACATACTCGAAAGCCACTAATTCTCCGGAAGAATTAAAAGCCCAGCTTTTCGGTAGGATGAAATCCTTTGGTAAGAAGTTGAAAGAATTCCAGTAAGCTGGGTCAGATGGTGATGCGTTATCCGAACCTAACGATAGACGTAATTATTGTCAGTATCACTACATATATTCAGCTTCTTGTATAATGCGTAAATCTATTAACTTTGTTTCTATTTTTCTATTTTTTAAGGTTTCAGTCTAAAAATTTCCAAATTTTATACTAAACAAAATTTAAGTATTTACATATTTACCATTCTCCAATTTCCACGGGATAGATACGCTCATACTTTCTCCTTCATCCATCGACTCGACCAAGACTTCGTCCCGTGCCATGTCGAAATGTCGGTGGACAATCGTCAGCCCGAATTCTTTGTAGCAACCGTGCTTAACAAATAACTCTCCGACAAGGTTTATCTGCTTGTCAGCATCCAACCGCTGAAATGTTTCCAATGCATCCTCAAATTGTGGAACTTGAAGGAAGAAATCCATATTTAGTGGCTCGACGAGGATCGACATTGTCTCTGTAAAATAAATCACGATGGTTAACTTGAAATAAAATTGGGGTTATTAAATATTTTCTGAGTATCCTTTTTATCGTAAAATAGGTTACGAAGAAAAAAGAAGGGGTCAAGCCTCATAAAAATCGTTACCTTCGTGACGCGATTTTTGCTGACAAAATTTTACAACACTTACAAAATCTTGTAACCGTCGTGACTTATTTTACGGTACGAAGAATTCTTATGTACTTAGGACATATGTATTGTTCATACAAAATTCTGACGTATGAAATTATGCTCACAAAATTTCCACAAAAAAATACTCACTATACATACCTCTTTTTATAAAACAGTATTGAGCAGCTCTACATACGTATATAAACATGTGTGTACATATAGACTTCATGTGGGCCGTTTTTATACGAGTTCGACATCTGTACAGGATATTAATTATTTGCGAAATAATCAGTACGACAATTGACAAAATATGTATAAGATAAGCGTCATTGTGCAAACGGTCAATGCATACATATGTATCTGGACGAATAACAAAACCCTTCTCAGAACCACTCACGAAAATTTCTCTCTCAATATTATGTATATGTATCCGTATATATTTTTGCGACAGTTGTGGCACTGATTATAAATAGATTTTTGCCTTATTATGCAGCATGCTTGCGTGTATACTTTATTTATGTAACATTATCTGAAAAACATACATATGTATGTATGTACATAATGCATTTCTGCATGGTTATATAAGTCGATAAGGTACTTCCGGCTGTTGAGTCACTTTAAGGAGTCCAGTATTTGTGGTAATAAATTTGCATGTCAGTTTTGAATGCGTCAGGGCATCAGTTTGGCTTATGATCACATCGCAACACTGAAATTGGTTGCTTTTAACTTTCACATCATATCACACATGTAGGGTGTGTACGAAAACTATAAACTTGCCAATTGTTGGCAGAACATAATTTAAGCATTCTGACGCCAAAGTTTTGGAGGAATGTTTCAATTTGTTACTATGTATGCTAATAGCTTGACAATACAAGTATTTACAGAGGCGTACATAAATACATACATCCATCGGTATTCCAAACAAATGATTACGGCCATGTATGTATGTATGTACAGTAAATACATACGTACATATTTATTTAGTATGTTACTTTAACAATTATGTAATTTCGGTAATTGTATCATACAAACTATTTAAGCTGCCTTTTAATAAATACGAATATGTACGGTACATACAAATGTAATCGGTGTATGTAAATGTTATTTGATTGAGACTGAAATCCAATAACACTGCAATTTTAAAATTTGAGACAAATTATTTTAGTCTACGGAAAAGCATATCGTGCACTTTCCATAGGCTAGGGAACGTACATGAAATACGTTAAGGGGTGATAAGGAAAGAAGGCTGGGGAACAGGTCAACTTGCACCACATGTTAAAAACCGGGTGTAACCTGTTAGTAGGGGTAAAAAATTCCCAAATTTTGCGTCACGTATTTTATGAACTCTCCTCCACTAAAGATAACTCCTGGATAAGGAAACAAGACAAGTACCCGACCTTCGTACCCAATAGGAAATGTCTTCCCTATAATTAGTTAGAAATGCATATATCTCACAATTTAATTGACTAATTGTAAATCGGCTAAATTTACGCAGTATAAATCCATGCTGCAAACAATTACATGCGTGAAATTCTTAAAATTATTCCATCTCTCTTTTTCCTAAAGTCGACCAGAACTTGGTTCCTCAAAGTTTCCGAAATGTTACACGACCACATAAAGGTTATAAAATGGAGCCTAAACTTCATGGCACGTCTCCACTGCTTTCCCATCATCTGGGACAAGGACAAAATCAAGTTTAAGAAAAATCTATTTTTCACAAGATTTTTTGAGATAGTGCAGATTCTTTATTTCGTCCTCATCTTGTACGTCATATTAATTCAAGTTCATGCCGATTGTGGGGTCCAAATCCTCTTCAGCCTCCAAGTTGGCTTGGGGCTAACAATGATCTACCTGTGGGGGATGGGGGTGCAGCTTGCAAAAATTGGGGGGACCTTACTCAACACTATTTCCGCGTTTGAAATCTGGCTGAAACACAATTTTGGAGGAATTTTTAGTAACATGGAAAGGTGGGATTTCGTTAATGTGTAATAATTACGGTTTGTGTACAACATTACGGCCAATGAATTTTTTTAACTCAGATATTTTTAACCCAGTATTTTTTTATACTTCATTATACATATATTTAGAAGTTTTAACCAAAAATAGAGGCAATTCATTCGTACTACAACTTTCAAATTTAATTTTAAAAATAATTTTACAAAGACTTTCAAATAAATATGTAGAAACTCAAGCCGAAAATTAGAAATCATTTTATTACACATTAGCACATTTTATAACCAAATATTTGTAAAATTGGCAAGTTACGAATTGCACAATGTTACCAAGGACTGTGCGAATTTCTTCAAGAGCCGTCGTAGACTATTTCATTACTTTTTGGGCGCACTCACGTCAACTTTCGCGTATCTCGCAAATTGAGCATAGCCAAATAAATGTAGGTATACAGAAGTATTGCGAGATTTCGCAAAAATTTTGCTGGAAAACAGTGGAATTTTTGTTTGCAAATTTATTTATCGAATACATAACTTGGCTTCGTCTTATTTCCCTAAGGGAATCCTAGTCGTCATAAGAAATTTAAATTATGTACATAGAAACCATGGAAAATATGTAAACTAACAAAATTGCGCGACAGATGTGTTTTTATGGTTTCGCGAAATGTTTTGCGAATACCATCATTTTCCGTTCGGACTCGTAAAAAATTAGAATCCTACAAAATTTATAAATATTTATGCACGCTTATCGAATCGCGTACAAAATTTCCGAGTAAATTTCCTCCTTTATTTTCAGAACGCGACGAAACACCTTCCTCCGACGCGTCTTATCCTTTGCGAACGGATTATGCCCAGCCGTTGGAATACTGAGGATGCGACGATTAGCAAACAACAGTTGTAATCCAATCTTCTTGGGATATGCGATAGGATATTGCGCCCCGTGTGGAGAGCAGGTGTCAAATTATGGCGTGGAAACATTAAAATTGATCAAACTTGGGGTAATCGTCCCCGATGGATTAAACGTTACCGTTGAAGTTTTTAAATCCATGTTCCTCCTCTTCAACGTCGCCCTTGTGGGGACGGGATGCATGCTGGATTATCTCGACATTTTGGGAAGGTTAAATAAATTTGAAACATAATTTTCAAATTAAATTTCCAAACTTTAACGGGCATACTCACTTATTTATAGTGGTAACGCATTTAGAAAGTTTACAAAGCTAAAAAAATTGTGACATTTGCAAAATATGATTTCCAAAATTTACATAAATCGTCCTACAATCATATTTTTAGTTCGTATGCATGATTTTTTAATCTCATGTGAAGCGTCTTATAAAATAATTTTAAACTATTTTCAAAAAAATTAACAGGTTAATTGGTAAATTTGCACAAAACTCCATGGCTTCCCAAAGTTTGGCAAAACCTTATAAATTTACAATACATTGCCAGTTTTGTTGTTATCTGCAATTTGCGAGGTATATCAATTTATCGTGAGTATGCAAAGTATAAACTGGGAAATCTTGAAACACAACATGCACATAAATATGGAAATGCAATATGGAAATTTGATGGCAAAAAATTGTTTCTTCAGGTTGTTGAATTTCCTAAAAATTTTATTTCCTAGCATTTCCACTGGTCCCACACGGATTTCACTCTCTTCCCGAATCGAACTTTACCGTTGCCTTGAAATCGTTGGAAAGGAATTGAACCATTTCGGCTCGTCCAGAATTGTCCCCGCCGTTCTCATCGTGTGCCCCATGGTCCAAATATTCTACACCTTTGTCCTCATCAAATTCTATAAAACGCAATCCGTCGGCGGTATCATTACTTATTGTACTGTGGTCATCCTCTGCGTCCTGGCGTCCATGGCATTTGATACTTTTGCCTCGCAAATCGGGGTCAAATCGGATCAACGGAGGAAGGAATGGGGCAAGGAGAGAGGACTGAAGAAAGTCGAGAGGAAAATATTAACCTCTCTGCAACCAATTAGAATCCGGATAGGGAGCAATTTTGTAGATCGAGATACTGCTCTGGTAACGCAAGACTTTTGCTTAAAGCAGACCGCGTCGTTGTTATTAATGTAATAAAATCTCAAAATTAACTTTTCATATGATTTTTCACGGAAAAAATTATTTATCAAAAATTTCAAAATTTACTGTTAAAAAATATTAAGGGTATTCACACTTGACTTGATTGTAAAATAGCGTATGAAAAAAAGGTGTCAAGCCACGCCAAAATTGTAACCTTAGCAACGCGGTTTCTGCTGACAAAATTTATCACACTTACAAAACCTCGTAAACCTCGTAACTTATTTTACGACACGCAGAATACCAAGAATACGAAGGAATCATGTAAATCCCTAATTTCTTGTAATCTTAGTTTTATGTATGTATGTACATACGTCTGTTTTTTATTAAAGTTAGGGCACCAAGTTGGCCGCACGACTTTACGCCTGTATAAATTTATTACCGTTTAACGACTTTGTGTAAATTTGAGGAAAACTAATTTACAAAAAATTATATGTATGTATGTACCGTGCGGTAAATGTGTTTTAGGAAAACTTTCCACAAGTATTGAGAAAACATGATTAATCTAAGTGGATTGTCCTATTTAGCAGAAGCGTATATATAACTTATGTATATACATAACCCAAGAATTAATAACTAATTGGCAATGAATATTTCTGGACATACATATGTCAACCATTGAAAATATACAAAATATGTAAATGCATGCATATTTATAGCATTTGTCGTAAATACGAGCTTTACTTTGTGAAAGTACACTTAAAATATCGAACATATTCACCTTCATTGTCCCGAATATCATAAAATACTTTACAGAGAAAGATTAAGGGGGTCAAGCTCCATATGTAAAAATCGTAGCTTTGCTAACGAGATTTTTGATTACAAAATTTTACAACGCTCGCAAAATCTCGTACCCGTCGGAACTATGATAGGCAAATAATTTTACGACACGAAGAAAACTAAGGATACCAAGGAATAATAAATATATACCTTCATGAATTCCTAGGAAATTGCAGCACTGCACAAAACTCATTTAATCCTCATACATACATAAGTCAAGCCACAAGGAAAAGTTGTTAAATTCTACAAGCATACATACATAAATCCATTTATCGAGCAATGCATAACCATGCCATCCACTTCAAACATGCAACAAACGAACAAAGATATTTATGCATACATACCTTTAAACATATCAGATACATACATACATGCAAATATACATACATATTTAAGTACATATGAAATACATATGTACATGTATGCGTTTTGGTATTGTTCATACCAATCGGCTTAAAGCGAGTTGGTCCGATTTGCTATACCCAATCTTATATACGTACATAGAAAAAGGGTTAGGTAATGCATAGCCCAACATACATAACTTTAGCATGGGAACATTGGTAAGGAGTTTGCGGAAAGGATGCTTCCAACTTTGGAAAATTTTGAACTCTTTGTTCCCACAGGATTTCTCATACTTATAATTAGCATAAAAACTTATGTACGTATGAACCTTGTACAAACCAATCAAATAAGTGACACCCTTTATGCACGGGCCCCATGTACATTTTATTGTGTAACTATTTGCTTTTTACCAGGCGAACTGGAGCCACGTCGTCCCATTCCCTATCATCATGTCGTCATAACGAAATCTTTTGCAAATTCGTGTGCAATTTAGGTGTGCTAATGTACCACCGAGTTCTACATCTTCGCGTAGAACTCGGTCGTACAGAATGTTCATCTTTAGGAATTTGGTAAGTTACAAGTTTGTTTATTTGATTCTATTTTGTGGGAATATTTGAGGTGAAAGATTTTAATAAATTTTTTGCACAACTTTACTTAAAAGTTAGGATAAGCTAATTTGGTTTAAGTATCCTTGATAATTACATAATTACAGATATTCCCCACTTGTAACGATTCCGAAAAATATGGGGGATGAGAATTCGCATTGAATTTTTAACATAAAATGAATCAAATTCAGGAGCGACCCATTAAAACGTATAATTTTCTAGGGTGAAATTTTCCACCAACTGTAATCTAAATTTGGAACTTGATACGCTTTTTCTTAATTAAATCAGGCTTGACCAGGTAATAATATTTAAAATTCAAACTGTTATTTTAAGTCGGTTTGTGCTTAATTTAGACGCCGTATACTAAATATTGTCTCCCTCTTTCAGATTTATGTAAATTCAGCACCATTTCTTTAATTCTTTCACCAACAAGATCAATGGCTTCAAAGGTGAGGAAACGTATAATCTACACAATTACACGAATTTGCTTGACGGTTATTTATCATTTGATTACCAACCGATTTTTTAAAAATATTACTGTCTCCTCACTACACTGTGTAATTTACACATACCTATTTGTATGTATGTATAATATCCTTGGGCTGTTAAGGTATTTTTGGAAATGTTACGTTCCCCGGATTTTACTTCCGACTTACTAAATTTCCATTACCTAGATAAGATAAATAATTTGGTTTGCAAATACATTTGTCTAATTTGTTTGGCAAAGTAATGTTAAAAAAATAGCTCGGTAATCAAGTCATAAAAATCGTGAAATGTTTGCAATTCGGGTCGAATTTGAATCGAATTTTGTGAATTTTCATACATAAATAGGAAGAAGCTACCCTAATTTTGTACGAAATCTTTCTAATTTCGGAAGTACATATTTGTATGGTGAATTTTTTATTTTACATAAATTTTAACTACGGTTTGTCACGAAGATGTCGTAGTTATTTAAATTAGAATAATTTTCTTTAAAAATTGATTAACTGCAATGTAACATTTGCATAATCCAATCCTGAAATTGGGAGTTTTAAAATTTTAATTGTCTTCAAACTAAGCAAAAATTAATAATGACATGATAAAATTGATTTTCAATAATAATTTTGATGTATTTATAATTTTGATTAACATTTATAGATGGAAATCTCCATCGACAACTTTCATCTTTCCGGCGTCAGGGTGACAAATGAAGACACAGACCAAAGCAGCGATTTCAGTGAAGGTTTAAAATTTTCCAGTTAACAGTGTAAATTTCAGTTTATTTAAATAATTTATCCTTACATATTGGATAAATATATATTACTTCGAAAAAGTTAAGTGCATGCTAAGTACAGATAAATTTAACATACAGGGCGATATCTCTCAATACTATTTAGCTACATATCTTTCAACATAACAAAAAGGTGTTACATAATTCAATACATCAATTATCTATTTTTTAACTGTTCTAAAATTTTAGTAATTTTCAAGTTGACTTATCGTATTTATGTTAATACATACGTACTAAATTATACGGATTTGCAAACATATTTATCAATAAGTTTTGTACAAAAAGCAAGTTTAACTATTGAATATTCACTCATTTGCTATGGGTAAAGTTATACGACCTTAACGAGCTAAAACTTTACGAAATGCCGAATCAGCCTCAACGAGTTTTATGTAGAAATCGAGACCCATCGTCTTGATAATTTCCAAGATTTTTACGTAACTTCTACTTTTTCTTAAACTCACCTTCTACTTTCTCATAAATCTTGTAACTTACAAGTTGTAAGTGTACTAGCAATTTACAAATGCAGTTGGAACGACTTTATCGAAAGGGTCGGAGATGATACATTTCTATGGTTAGGCTTGCTTTCCGTTCAAGCTATTAAATCTAAAAGGGAGATAACCTAGAACTATTTTTGCTACACTATTCATTTTTAATTTTGACGTGCAAACGAGTCCTGTAAAAGTCACCAAGATTCGTTAGAAATGCCGAATTGAAAAGATGGCTAGGCAGAATGAGATCTTTTATTCAGTATAACCTCAGCACGACATGATTATTCAAGTTTTTACTTATCATATATACTCCGGCTATGTACATTTTGGTATGTTTTCTTCCCATTGTCCATAATTTTATTTTATTCAAGCGATGATTCTCTCACGTTCAAATGTTTCCATATGCCACTCATTGAGCTCGCTGCAGATTGAAGTACAGTTTACGAAGTACTTAAATTCTCTACTTCCATAGTTCTACCATTTACTGCATTTAAGTAGATGAGATTGTTGTTTCCTAAAGGTAAAGGACTCAACAGAGGACATGTTTATACGTCCTGCCCCATTTACATCGTTTTTTATGATGGTACGGGAATTTCCTTCAATGAAAATATCTGGGCTTGGGTATCCGACAATTTTTTTACAATCTTGAAACTGAAGAATTGACTTCCTTCCAAGATTCATTTACTATGGTTAATTGATAAAAATGAATTTAATTAAAATTAATTATTGAATTATCGCTTAATAATATTGATCCGATCGAAATTACTAACCCCAACTGAGAGAATTTTGTATTAAGTGATTCCAGATCCTTAAAAGATTTTATCACTCTTATAGAATATAGTCACTTTTTTGTACGTAAAACAAGCTGATGAAAATTACCGCTGACGCTTGGTCCGTTACTTTATCCACACTCGAAATCCATGCAATGTTTGCAATGTATAAAGGTATTAATTGCAACAACGTGGCTATAATAGTTAGAACATTGATGTAGCAAAGGATTTTATGAATACGACTCCAGATTTTCTTTCTTCCAAATAATTCTTTCTTAACCGGAAGCATGAGTAGTACCTCGAATATTCTTATCAATTTTGGAAATTCCATTTTATTCCATTTTTACAGCCCAGGCAAATAGCGGGGATCTAAGCCCGTAAAAAATGTAACGGATTTTGTCTCTTCTATAAATTAATACACTGGATTCGCAATTGCAAATGTCTGCTCATCGTTCCTCGTACCACCGTAAACATATTTTCCATAGTATATGATGCCAAACTTTTGAACATAGTTGTGTAAGAGTCCACATACTCTGTTGTTGCCATACCACTTGCCAGATTAGCTGAAATTCTCCGACTAATATGTATACTTCCGAGACTCCCAATCCTCAAACATGATGACTTGTTCGAAAAATTTTTGAAGCTCTATGATCAACGGATATTGAACATATAGGATTTCCATCTTGCGTATCAAGACCAATTAGTTGGATTTCTCGGGCGAGAAGGTCAAACATATTTAGAGTTATGACGAAAGCGAATGAGCTTGGGAAATTTTCCATCGGAAATATTGACCTAGATTATATTCACATTGTTATTGGTACACATAAGCTAATGACCCTAATAATATGTGATCTATCGTCTAAGGGTTCATTTAACATGTAGCGATAAATCTCAGCTAATGAAGACAGATAAACTGGGTAAACTTCATTAACTTCTTAGAGAAATGGAGGACTTCATGTTACAACTAAAAAATAACAATTCCTTGCCCTATTTGGTTCAAGAGTTTCGGTTTAATCTGGTAGTATTTTCAGATATTTGTTTGCATATTGAACGCACAGCTACTAGAGTAAATCCATGTCAGGGTTTCTATCCTTTTTTTTCTTTCCAGACCTTGTGTACTGAGGAGGTTCTTTTACAAAAACAAATGAAATTTCTGTAGTCAAATACGTTTAATAGATATAGTTTGATGACGCTATTAACAATCTGTATTTGTTCAATGAGTGTTCGACGAAGGAATAATTTTATAGGGTTGACTACGCCGAGCATTGGTGTCAAACCGAATTGACATACATAAGGGTCAATGTTCTGTAATTATTTAGGGTTAATTTATTAGGAACATAATCATGAGGATCTGACTTTTCAGAAAAAAACAAAAGCTCTACTTGCTAGCTTGTGTGTTGGCTTCATTTCTTCCAATAACGGTAATCGACTGTTTATTGCCAACGCGACGAACGATTCAGATACTGCCTGAAAAGGATTGAAAGCAGTTATACCCATCTAACCCGGAATACTTTTGTGAACTACCTAAAACTCTTCATTCCAATCTCTTTTGCTAAATAAGTTAGTGTTTCTCTTCGTCGAGAAGTTATTGCATGTTTCATTGTAAAATACGTTGAGTTGTTTTGCATAACTTTCGCGGTCATCAGGGATCTTTAGAGTTCGATCGCTAGTACTAAGTACAAGTCCGAGGCAAGCAACAGACCTGTCAAAAGCGTTTTTATGTTAGACAGCTTTTTATCCAGGTCAGTGCACAAATCGTGGCATCGAATTTCATAACACAGACTATCAGTATCACTAAAGAGTAACGATTATGGTGTTATGAATTAATGCTTTCTAGCAGAATTTATATCACAATGCACGAATTTTAGTGCAACCAACGAAAACTTCATGCTCATCAAAACCCTTTGTAAGAACATCGATAAACGCTTCCATCCCGTTGAGCACACATGAATTTGAACGCCATCCATTACGTCTTAAACCTTTGTAACATTAGTCTCAAAATGAGTCATTGCTACATACATGAAAAGATCTTTGAAACTTTTGTTCAATCCAGTTGCTGTTGCCTGCGCCAAAGTGCTAAATAATTGTAACATGGATGATTAATATGTCGATACGATTGTTGGCAGCAGAATTTATGCTTAACGATGGAAAATTGTACTTCCGATTAAGGCCAGCCTTTTATCGAATGTGTAGCTTATTCTGTACACTTTGAGACCTTTTTTTGTCGTAAGAGCTGTTATATGAGCCAACATATTTTTTGACATAATATATTTTCGCCGTGGACTTTGAAGTTCATCTATTTTTGGTAATTACTCCACCGCATGTCGACCAGCTAGATACGTTCATTCTCAGGTGCATGGATATAAAAGGTGCATATACATGATACGGTATCAGGTGCATATACATGAAAGTATGTAAATTCTAATATAATATTATATATAGGTTAGCAAATTTTAAAACAGGCTCGCTAAACACTTGCCAGATGATTTGGTATTCGCCTCCGAATGTGAAGCTTTCCGCAATTACTATTCTACAAACATTCACGGAGCAGAGATTCCCATTGTGCGACTAGCCTTGGTTGATGTTCACGTTACCGTTAATTCGTAGTTTGTATGTCTTTGTGGGGATTACAACTCAAACAAGTTAATTGGTTAGGTATTGCGTATTGCGTTCGACAATCGCAATATACTATTACGTACGATTATCGAAACTAATCTTAGTCGTTTGTAATTCACGTACTATGCCGCGCCGTGCTTAGCGTTTCCGAAGTTGGGTTTTTACTCAGAAATGTGGGAACGAGTTGGACGAATAGGATCCAAATGCCCTACGACGACGGTCAATTCGCCGAATTTGATTTGCTTTAACTCGTCGCATATTGTATCGGCTGACGATATCGGTTTGAACATAATACAATCACGTTAAGTTGAAGTTCTAGTTCCAAAAGAGTAATTCACGATAAGAATTTGGTGCCATTGTAAGAGCACGTGTGCACGCATATCTTCATGTATCAGGTAGCTACACGTAGTTTAATTTTGTGGAAAACAAACAAGTTGTTTTGAGTAAACTTTTAAAAAACCCACAAATATCAGAAGTAATTTGAACGATCAATTTATGCCAAGGTTGTTTGCGAGCTTGATTCGGTAAAACTCGTTAATAGCTCGACAATTACATATATGAATTCTGCCATCAGCGAATCCAAGCATTTTGGTGAAAAATCCAAACAAGTTTAATTTATAGTTTTATAGATTGAAAACTCCGGATAACATTAAATTTCCGTTTTTGGACAAATTAACCAGAAGTACTTTAAACCATGTTAAGCAAAGGCCAGTAAACCGTGTATATTAACGCGTGTAGGGTATCAATTTGATCTAAATGAAACTTAAGTATCTCTCTGAAGTATCTTAAGTAACTCTCTGACGTAAACCATGTTTCAGGTGTATTTGAAAAATGTTTACCTCAGGTCAGAGGTCATGCTGTTAATAAATAACAACTCTATAAATTGCTTTCTATCATTGATTTTAACGACTGAAATGTTCAACATTAAAGTACTTAAGGGTCACATGCATGAATTTGTTTGGGATTTATTGGTATTATTATTGAATAAAAAGCATGTCATTGATATATACATCGGAAATTCATGCGTTGTGTTATTAAAGAATTAATTACTCATGTTCCACACGGTTTTAATATTTCTTTATGAATATTGTTCTTGCAAATTATGTATAGTTACTCCGCCTAATGAAACGCAAGATCGATTTTTAGACTAGCAAAAACCTGTGCTGTTTATCAATCTCAAAAACTATTTAAATGGAGGATGTTCGTTGCTCGAGCATTATGTTAATTAATTTGGTATTATGTGTAATTATTATTAAGATACAATGATATTGTGATAAAAATGCTGGTAATAAATAAATAAATATCTGACACAAAAACAGATTACTTATTATGAACAAAAATGCTAATTAAACAGATGAAATATTTATGTTTCTTTCAACATTTATGTAATTAATAACAAGCTACATACATACATAAATATTTAGTCTCCAAAATTATGCATGAAAATAATTATGTCCGCCGTATTGAACGATGAAGAGCTAATGTATCAATAAAGTATTAATTACTAAATATATGTATACATATACATATACGTATTTATATATTTATGAGGTAATCTATTTAAATTTTGATGACATCTTGTATTAAATTTTCAAATGTTTTAATACAAGTGTAAATTTGCATAGCTTAGGCATAGCAAAATTTGGAATTTCCAACAGAGACGTGAGTAAAAATTCCTAGACTGTATGAAGAAAACAAGGGAGAAATATGGTAAATGTACATATGTACATATTTACAATGGAATTATCTTTGCCTCGTTTGCTAATAAATTTAAATATGCCCATTTTCCCCTACATATATGTACGAGCTTTCCATGTCTTTCATTAATGCGTCAAAATATGAAAATGAGGTGACACCCACAAATAATATATGTATGTACATATGTATGTGGGTAGCATATCTTTTTCACGAGGTACAAAGAATCATTTTCTTATAAATTACTTATAAAGAAGGAATAACTTCTGATTAATGAGAACTAAATACATAAAATCATGCAATATGAAATTTCTTGCAAGAACTCAACACATACATATTTATAGTAAATGATCCGTAGCCCCACGAACACCATTCAAAAGATATTCCTCAAAATCAACCAGATCCTTTTTCTTGACAATTTTTAATGTTCAAACTACACCGAAATTGATTAGCCAGTCATGTCAAAAAATCAAGCCAAAAATTATTTAGGTATCATACGAACATGAATCTTTTCTTGTGTTGAATAGTCATAGTTCACAATGTGGGTCTAAGGCTCCACTTATATCGTTGATAAGTGGCACATGTGAAAGAGGGAGGGGGGCCTACTTTGTTAATGTTCTCTAAGTATGTAAATGACGCAGTGTTGCTTAATTACTTGAGTTTGTAATTAATTACTAATTACTTAATTACATCGGACGAGAGAAAGTAATTAATTACTCAATTACTAATTACATCAGTCGAGTAATTAATTACAGTTACAATTACTTCCGTGAAAAGTAATTAATTACTTAATTACAAATTAATTACATTTTTTATATAATCATGAAGTATGATACAGTTACGCAAGTACTAATTTCCCGGTATCAAAGTTACTATCGCTTGATCTCAAAGTTATACCGGTCGGCTGGTAAATTTTTACCGCTCCGTAACAATTTGTTACCGATATGGTAAAACTTTAATACCGAGCTATTACTACATTGCACCACTTACCACTACCACTTTGGTAGAGTCACATATGAATACCGGTTGGTATTATTTTAATACCAAGCGGTAAAAGCTAAGAGCGTAAATATACGAACGTAATGTAAATGCAAAGAACTATAATTAACATTTCAAGATTAAGCAGTTAATTAATCCAAGGACTTAATTAATCTAAGTATATTCCAACTTCTCAAATTAAAAGGAAATTAATAATTGATTGGGGGAGCGTAATTAACGCAAAATTAATCTTCACCATCTTCCAAAAACGAGCTCGGAAATCAAGATTTTACACAATACACTGCCTAATTCGAAGCAACCGAGTAATTAATTACCCAAAGTAATTAATTACTTTGTTACCCAATTGAAGCCAAGTAATTAATTATTAATTACAATTACATTGCCACAAAGTAATTAAAATCAATTACTTAATTACTTCTCGATTTTCTTGTAATTAATTACGTAATTAATTACTTTTGTAATTAATTACTACAACACTGAAATGACGTTAAGGTTCTGATTGGAATTTTGGGTCAAATTTGTGTTTACCCTGTGTAAATATGTATGTATGTATTTGTACATATGTAAGGATGTCTGTAGGGATACATACTAGTCCTAAATACATATTTACCGCACACTGTATAATTTATACATATGTACACGTATATATTCAGGATTAAACGCTTTAACCCAAACTCCCCCATGCCCAAGTATTGTTAGTAACAATTTGTTAATAAAAATGCGCTACACCCAAAAATTATATGTGTATATTCACGTGTGTCAATACATATACATGTGCATATCTATTATACATAATATATACATACATATTATGTATGTATATGTATGTATGTATGTATATGCATACCATCTTTATTCCAGCGCTATATAAGAGCTAGTGTGTCTCGTAGAATTCTTAAAGTTGCCAGTGGCGGATGTTATAGATTTTCAGAAGACATCATTATCCTTCAGAGATCAATTAATTCTATTTATGTATGTATTATATACATATTATTATGCATTTGTGCATGCATGCATGCATATTTATCATGAGGCAACCAGTAATTATATGTATCGCATGGGTAACAAAAATTGTGCGACATATCCAAGCCTGTAAATAGCTCACATCCAGTGTGCATGCTCTTTATGTGTATTGTATTAATACTTAGGAACGTCTCAGATTTATTTATGTACAGATGTATACATGTACGCATGCATATGCATATGTATGCATATGCACATACATACATGCATAAATATAAGTTGACCGAGGAACCCGTGACTTTAATGCCTTTGTCACTAAATCCACAATTCATTATCAGTCCCAGACCTTTCTTGTTTAAGGGCATCTACATAAATACATGTTTACAGACATTTGCATGTACATACATACACAATTTATTTCTGACTAAATTTTCTTGTGTATTAACCTCTAACAAAATGTTCAGGCTTGATTTAGTCCATTAAACCGTCACGTACAAAGAACTTATATCTTTACGAGTTTACAACGAAAAAACACGACTACAAGAACAAGAAGACTGCCCGAAATAATGAGTAATTCCGTAAGTTTTGAAAGAATTCTTAGTTATTTAAATTATTTATAATTAGTTATTGACTAATTATGTGTTTCTTACAAATCTGTAAGTCTTAATTTAAAAATTCTTCCCATTTCCATAGATTAATATGGACACAATGACGCCACAAATGGATCCTCCTCCCAACCTTATCACCCCCCAAGATAAGCACATTCCCACCTTCCCCCTCCAAGTCTCCCACCCTACCGCCACCCCCGCCCAAATCGCCCTCTCCTCCGCCATCCTCACCGGAAAGGACGACCTCGTCCGCGCCCTGTACGCCAAAACGTACGCCAAGATCTCCACCGCCACTTACGACTGGGCCGTCATCGTGCTCATGCTCCTGCTCGGGCTGACCTCTGACCTCGTCGCGACGTACACCAATCCCAACTCCACCGCCGAATTCGACACGGTCTTCGTCGGCATCGCGTCCTCCCTGATTATCCTCGTCTCCCATGTCGACGCGTGGTTTAAACATCATTACATCGGCGCCGACGCGGCGATCGGGGTCGTCTTCGGGGTTCACAGACTCATCTTGTCGGTCCGGACGGGGTGGGCGTGGGCCGGGTCTTTCGGGTCCGGGTCCGGGTCTTCCCGGGGGATTGTCCTGCCCGAGTGGATGTTCCAGATTTACATGGGGGTCATGATCTTTATCGGGGAAAAACATGTCAGCACGGCGACTGCGGTCATTTTGTACATGAATTTGGCGTTGAACTGTATCATTTTGGGGTTCCGGTATCCCCTCGTTACCATGGCGATTGTCCTCGTGTATGTGCGGAGTGGACGGGAAAGTATGGAAAGGCTGGATGAATTTGTGAGAAGATGGAAAAATTGGGTGGCTGCTGGGTTTGGGGTATTGCTCGGGGCGGTATTTGTGTATGTACAGGTTAAAGAGAATTCCGAAGCGGTGGGGGTTTTACAGGAGAAAATGGTGGAGTGGAAATCGTGGGCTAAACCGGTGAGGAGTTTTATGATTTTGTGGGGTGGTTTGATGGGAATTATGGCAGTTATGTGGGGAAGTTTTGAATATTTTTGGGGTAGGGGTGTTTCCCTGGTGAAATTGTGGGATTCTGGGTTCGGATTAGTATTTGTATAATGAATGATTAATTGTTCTGTGGGCTCGCTGCTAAATTTTTACATATAATTTGACAGCAATATGAATTAGAAAAATTGAAAACTAGATGTCATACTCGTTATCCGTTCCCCCTTTTAATTTTGATTATGAGAAATCTTGTGTAATTAATGGTTAGAACATTCATTAATGACATCCCGTTAAAAATTATAATTGATACAGATAATCCATGATTTTTAATAATCTCATTTTTGATAACAAATACCCTATCATACATACACCATACTTTGGATTTGTTATTTAGTTCAATATTTATCTGATTTTAAATAATTATGACCTATATGTATTTACATATTTCGTTTGTAATCAGAAACTCGCTATAAATAAATTTCATTGTCTAATCGTAAGTGTTTTTAACTTCATGGCTTGACTTGGATTGATAAAAATGAAAATTTAACAATGGGCTTATTCACATCAACCTTAGCATACATTACAAAAATAAGCATACTAAAACTTGCTATATTTCACAAAAATTTTGGTGACAATGATTTTTTAAATAAATTTGTCCAGCAAATTGGCACGTCTTTATTAACTCACCCGTCCCTTCCATCTCAATCCATAGAAATCACAGAAATTCACGAGAACTAAATAAAAATACGGCAACAGTCAGATTTTGAGCGCTATGAAAATCCGAAGGTTAGTTGCGACGCTAAATGTTTTTAAGACATTGTCCCGAGTACGCCCAATATTAGTTAAACATCTTCTTTAAACGCATCCCGTTTCGATCTCGGCAACATATTTTTCCTCGTCTCCAACACGATGTCATGTGCCGCTTTTAAATGCTGAGTAAGGTCTGCCTTGACCGCAAAGGCTTTTGCACACTGGTCGCAGATGAAGGGGCGCTCCCCCGTGTGCACTCGGCGCACGTGGCCACGAAGAACAAACGCAGTATTGAACGCTTTTCCGCAGTGGGGGCATTTGTGCGGGGTGGGGGTGACGTAACCCGGAGTGTGGATTCCTTTCACGTGCATGATCAAATTACTATTGGTTCGGAAAGCTTTGTCGCAGTGGGGGCAGGGGTACGGTCGCTCGCCGGTGTGGGATCGCACGTGCGTCGTGAGTTGATACGCGCTGATGAAAGTGGAGCCACAAGTCTGTGAAAATATTTTTTTGGAAATTAAGTATATTTCTGGATTCTAAATATTTGGAAAATAATATAATGCAATATATTGACGTCATTCACTTAGTCATTGGTAACTTTTAAAATCGATTCATTTGGTAAAATAAGTTTGTAAACTAAAATAAAGGGACGCTCTTGCGCTGAGTAGGTTTACAAAAATTGCAAGGTAACTTTCCTTGGAAATATTAAAGAAATTTTGTAAAAGTTTACAGAATTTCCGAATTTCAGTACAATGTTACCAAGGCCTGCATGAATTGCCTGACTATTTTCAGGAAATCTTATAAAATAATTCCAAATAGCCTTACATCACATTTATGCTGTTTGTCTCCCGCATGAACTTTCTTATGTCGATCTAATCCTGCCATAGTGGTAAAAGTACGGCCGCTTTTGCAAAAAATGCTTTAATTAGTAAAAACTTATATTTTACATAAATAATTAAGTTATTTACCATTCATCACAAACGAACGGATCCTCCCCGTGCAGTCTGATACGGTGAGCTTGTAATGATTTCGAGGTCACAAAAATTTCCGAACACGTGTCGCATTTGACTTGCCGATGCGTGCCGTCATGGCGATCGAGGTGCATTTTAAGGTCGACCGGAAGATAAAACCCTTTTCCGCAAAGGTAGCAAATATTCTGGGGAGCAGAGGACGAAGAATGATCTCGAACAATGTGACGCTTCATGCTGGTCCCGTCCGTAAAGGTGGCCGAACATTGGGGACATTTCTGTGGCTTTGCTTTCTTATGGGTACGCTCGTGTCTGAAAAAAAAATGTTATGGTTAATTAACTACTAAATAGATTTTAATTTGCATAATCGGTCAGTAAGAGCGTACTCAGGACAACGTCGTCGCAAATTTCATACAACTATAAAACCATTTCTGTTATTTTATGCCAATTTTGATATGGTTTTGATAGATTTGTGTAAAAATTTGTGTAAGATTTGTGTATTTGTGTGATATTTTTACTTCTTGGGATGAATTTGTGAACAAAATCAGAGGTCAAGTTGCTGGATAAATAAAAAAAAAAACATCTATTGTTTTCCAGCAAAAGCATTGCGAAAAATCACAAATTTTGCAAGATTTATGTAGTCGTCCTGCGACACATGCCCTGTTTCTGAGTGACATTGTGAAAAAAATCCTATGCTTCCTAAGTAGAAGTTTTGCGAAATGTTGCAAATTTCGCAAAAGGTACGTATGTATGACGTGAATACGCCCAACTGTAAAATTGACGCCAGTTACCTGTCCAAGTCTGTAATATCTCTGCATTTCTTTCCGCAATTTTGACATTGGAACCGCCCCCTGTTGTGTGTCTCCATGTGTCGGTCGAGCTGCTCTTTTGTCCTAAATCGAGTGTCGCACACGTCACAAACTTCCGGTTTGACCCCCTCAACCTCATGAAGGGTCACGTGCCTTTCAAAGTTTTCCTCGAGGCAGAAACTCTTCTCGCATTTGCCGCAGGAAAACTTCTTGTCGCCGGATTCATGACGAATGACCTTATGCGCGGCGAGGGTGCCTTGACTGAGAAACTTTTTTGTACAAATGTGGCATTGATAAGGGTGCTCGTGGGCATATCTTAGATGAGCGTTGCGCGCCTTGGTACTACAAAAGGTGGCCGTGCAACCTTCCGCGGGACAGGGAATGCCGCTGAGGGCGTCGTTTTTATGTGGGAACTGGGAAGCATCGTTTTCTTGAACCCGGTCGCCCAAGTTTTGGTTTGATGTTGGGCTAGACTTTTTAGTTGATGATGGTTTTTTCAGCCTCTTTTTACTCGTTGGGCGAATATTTTTCACCGAAAGTACCAGATTGTTGTTAACCAGGGTGGTTTGTGTTTTGATGCGGGGGGAGGATCGTGATCGTGTCCTTCGGGAAGAAGATCCGAATTTGATCCTTTTCGAAAGTGGTATGTTCTCTGTTGCTGAAGGAGAATCTATTTTCCGTTTCCTTAAATGAATAATAAATTCAGTTTAAAGAGATTCTCCTAATTTACCATAATTTCAAAGCCTGGCATGAAAGTATTTATGTTCTCCTTCTCCATACATACCGTATTGACGGTCCTATCTTCTTAGATCTGCGGCTTTTCATGTTTTGGCGAAAAGGAATAATGCAAAAATCGGTATCGTCGTCGCCGTCTTTCTCATCATGGAAATTATCGTCGGGCTCTTCTTCGTTCTTTATGTTTTCCACACTTGTTGGAAAGCATGGATCATTGTCGTTTTCATACAAAAATTGGTCGCCCACGACCCTCAGCGGGTCAACATCGCCTTGGATAAGTTCTACTTTAACACCTGCTTCATCTTCCTCAAAATTTTGATGATTCCCTCCTATTTCAAACTAAAGTATTTAAAGAAGCAATTACAAATTGATTAGGTTTAAAATTTGTTTAAAACCTGTCACACGGAGAAGCATGGTACGAATCTGTATAATTTTCTCGGTTTCGGGATGATAATCCCCATTATTTATAAGTTGAGACGAAGTATGTAAAATTGTGGCGTGAATTTGTTTAATTTTCGACTCGATTTCTTCCTCCAGGAGAGAAATTTGGCTCTTAATTTGTTCCATTGTTCCGATGAGAGTATAACAGTCGGAACAAAGTTCACACATTTCGTTATCATCTTCAAATTGGAGGGGATGAGAAGATTTGTCGATTTGATTCGGATAACCTAACAGTTTTCTAAGGGTCTCGACTATGATTTTTCGGGGGGACATTTCTCCCTTATCGATAACGCGTAAACAAAGAAGGCAGAACATGGCTCATGGAGACGATGGAGGATATTAGATCTGAAACAGAAATTTAAAAAAAACATGAATTACAAATTATCATTTTTTAAATTTTATAATTCCAAAAAATATGGCACGTATACTTATCAGTGCAGAAATTGCGTTATACTTAATGCATTGTATAATATGTAATAATTTCAACCGACACAATTTAGTAGAAATATTGAATATGCATGAGAACCATGAATAACAAAAACAAATAAAATAATATATAGAAAGTTGTACGAGTAAATACCGTTGCTATTTGTAGATTTGGCGATTAAACGGATAATAATTTAATACCTAAGTAGTAATAACTGTATTAAATTGGAGCAACTAAATTTCAACCTAGTGCCTGGAGCTCCTGCAACTTCATGTGAAATGTTTACAAACTTGAAAGGAGAACAGAATAAAACTCGTACCAAAACATGTCTCATCGTTGGCGAAAGAGCTTCTTATGCAACATTTGCGTAACCGAGAAACTTGTATGCACCTAAATATGTACCATATAAATTTTTTTACTATAATCTCGATTTGTAAGATTATCCAAAGAAACGTATACGTTTTCATGTTTTTTTTACATAAAGTTTGTATGCATGTATGTATTGTTTGTTTTATGTAATTGACGAATCGTCAGTCACATGAATTTCATGGAGACTATGCATTAAGTATGACGCACATAAGATAGTTTAAGGCATCGTACCTTTTCCTATTACGATTAGAATATGAACAATGCAAATAGTGATAATTGTCACAATACTACGAAAATCGGTTCCATCCATCGCGTACGTCCCTCCTGGGAGAAAGATTGAGCCTAAATGCTCGTGTCCATGTAAATTCATGAATATTAACATATTTATTAATATTTTGGAAATTAGAATGATAAGAAAGTACCAAAAATGGGAACACATTTTTGAAAAAGTGTCTGAACTGGAAAAATTACTAATTAATTAGTTTTACTTTTTAATCTTTTGCGAGCTCCGCATCGCTTTTATCTCTCATGCAAAATAGTTAACATGCATAAAACGCCTCATCATTTATGTACAAATTTAGTATGTATGCACAGTAAATATGTCACAATTCTCCCAATGCTTCTTTTTCATTGCGAATTTCATACATAGTTTACGAAAGAAACAATAAACAAAAATGTGTATGATTTAGTACTTGTATACAATTGAACCATGAAGTAATTTAGGGGCACGTCACGTGTCACACGTGCGAATAAATTAATAACTCCATAAACTACATTTCATTTCATAAAGAAATTTGATCCTTTATTTCTCCCCAACTTAAAATTTCAAGTGGTCACAAAGCATACATACTTATATGTCCAATATTTATGTACGAAAAAGACTGTTTCCCTATTTTTTGCATAATCTATTTAGCACCTCGTAAAACGTCCAATTATTTTTTGCACGGCTCATAATTGTGCTTGCTTGCGTGACCCAATCCATTTTCCTAGATTCAATTCTCTTGCTTTAATTGAATTTTGTTTTTGTTTTTCATTGACGTCTTCTTCACAGAACAAACAGCGAAGCAACGTAATTAACTTTCTTTATATGCAAACTGGGGAAACACCGTTAGAAATCTGATATAGTGAGGCAGGTATTGATTTCTCGGTATTAAAGATGCTACCGCTTGGTATTAAAATTATGTATATCATCCCGGGAAAATTTGTTACCAATACGGTGAAACTTTAATACCGAATCGTTACTACACCGTATTACTTAGCAGTACCACTTTGATAGAGTCAATACCGCTTGGTGATACTGGATATCCAAAAGTGTACTAACATGAGAAATTTGAATTTAGGGCTAATAATTGTTTGTGCTATCATATCCAAACTTGTCACCAAATTATATAAATTTTAAATTTCCATACAGTCATATTTATATTCGAACAAGAATACGAAATCCGAGAATGCAATTCATGATATTTGAGATCTTTTAATACCGGATTTCTAAGAGTGAATGGTCATTATTGGATCAAAAATAGAACCATTTAATTGGCCATTTAACTCCCGGACTATTTCCAATTTACATAAAGAAATCACACCTTTCTCTAGACTTAAACATACGTCAAGCGTCATTCCAACCCTGACCATGGAGGACTTTTACGGAAAACCGGTTACACCCCCGGAACAAAACCAGGCTCAAAAAGTGAGCAATTTACCACTTAAAATATACAACTCGCTCCCCTGGATGGGGGTTTCCCTCACAAAATTAAGTCCTATCCGTAACGGTGCGGATTTTAAATTAGAACGCATCTCAACCTTCCCCTTAGCAATTTTTGTGTTTTTCCAAGCCATCTTTTGGATTAAGACGATCCATCTTTTTGGCCTTCTGGTGGGCGTTTCGGGCATTGACATTTCGGAATTTTACGATAAAATAGCCGTCCTCACCTGGTTTTTGATCTTGACCGGGTGTGCCGTCGGGTATTGGGGGTTGGTGGGAAGATACCCCTTTTACGAAGTGCTCAAAGAAGGTTTTCGTGCAGAGGATCGAATCTTCTGTCAATTACAGGATGGGGATGGGATCGATTTTCAGAAGAAAGTTACCACCGCCGGAAAATGGGTGTTGGCGAGACAAATGTAAAGTTTCAAAATTTTATCAACACAAAAAAATGCAATGCTAGAAATCGTCATCAAGATTTAAAATTACATAAAAGAAGAAAATCTAAAAACTCTTGAAAATAGCTTTAAAAATAGAAATATTCAAGACGGTGTGATAGATTTTTATTACAACTACATACATTTATACTTCGTTTTCCAATTATGGAATCTTTCTTAATTTTTATGCTTAAAGTGACTTTAATCATAAAATGCGAACAGTAAAATTCGTCGTTAAAATTTCGAACAACAAAAACATTAGATTTACAAAATTATTACCGATATGGTCTTTTATAAAAACCGAATGACAGATTTTTATTATATCTTCCCAATTTATAAAATCTGTGAGAATTCTTATTCTATTCGTTCGAAAAATGTCAGTTATAAAAATATTCATCCAAATTTCAAAAGTCAACATTTCAAGAGCAACTACACAAAATTGCTGGAATCACTTCACACACAAATGACACAAATATGATTTTTGATTCCTTACCAAAATCCACGATTTTAGGATCTTTAAAATTCATAGATTTTGGCCTCAGCAATTTTTTTAAACTTTTGTACGACTTATTAAAATTACCCCCAAAGCTGCTTATTTTAAATCTTTCTAAACATTTACATACCACTAGATTTCCACGAATTTTTAAAATTCCTTCTATCACAGAAATAATTCAAACTAAAAATATATTTCCCACCCAACTCCATTAGCGAAATCATCATCGTCTGCCTAATCTCCATCACGATTCAGTTCTTCTCCTTCCCCAAGTACATTACGAACATTTACGTGCTGCTTCCCTGGGAAAATGATGCATTGTTCTGGACCATGTACGCGTTCGAGATCAGCTGCATGTTCCTCATCGTGATTTTGTGGGACTGCGCGTTGGCGGGGGTTCCACTGTCCTGCATTTATTTGGAGGAGACCCTTCGCCTAATGGGCGACAGGATGGCGGCAAGTTTAAAAAGTTTTGGGTACGATTCAACCTACGCGCCGAACTTCGCGGTCGGACATTATCGCGAATTAATCCTCTACGCGGACGGACTTAATGACTTTCAAAGCTTCAAACTCATCTTCATTCATGGGCTGCTGTTCGGACAACAGACGGCGGAAGCGTTCACGGCGTTTCGGATGTTACGAACACCGGGCATCGCCTTATCGGATTTTGCATTTTTGTTGGCAGATATGTGGGTATGGAAATTCAAAAAATACAAAATATGATGACAAATTTGGAAGTGATGGCACACAGGATGCGCAAGCCTTTCAAGAAGATTTTATCTGATATTAGTTAAATTTCTGAGCTCTAAATATTTTGAAATGAATAAAATGGAATATTTAGACAATTCATGTAGTCATTTGTAACTTTGTGAAATCTGTAAGTTTCGTAAAATAATGTAACACAATTTTCCAAAATTAAGAGACACCCTTGATCTGAGTCAGCTTACAAAAATTTGTAAGATTATTTTCCACAGAATATTTGGGAAATGTTCTCAAAGTTTGTAAGTTTACTAAATTTAGGGGTTACACAATGTTACCAAGGACTGCGTGAATTTCCTCATTGAAATTAAATTAGTAGTGCTAAATTTTAATTTCTTACGTAGCAAAAATGTATTCTTTTTTGCAGACCGCGATTCGCCAATTGTTCCTCAACTTTAAAGGAATCTCGTTCGTTGGGGTGGCATCGGAAGAATTTTTGCACATGTTAAGATTACGCATTAATCAACTACTTCCTTCAGAAAGGCGGTATTATTCCAGGGTTTTGAGAAGCTTGCGACCCATTTATATTCGACAGGGTCCAAATCGTTGCCATCGGGATTTACTCGGATGTGCGTGGATGATAATGATGAACTATTACGTCACGGCGGCTTTGTGGCCGTAATACATAAGCAGATGTGTATTAAATACATGCATTAGTTTTCTACATACAATTAATATGTTAAATTGTTACTAAATTCATAAAGCCGGCTGACTACCGTCGGATAATAATAACAATCATTTAAAATTTGAAGTATATAGATGTGTTACATTTCTTTAAATGCTATTTTAGCAAGTGTGCATTCTCATTTTTCCCAGTTTATTTTCCTTCAATTTACACAGAAAGTAGTTGAGTAATACGTAAATATGCATTTGGGCACATATCTGCTATTTACTACAGCTTTTGTACGATAAAATTCAAATTACACACGGTTAAAACGTTCTTAAATATACAAAATTGTCCTCCGTAATCGATGTTCAATTATAAATTGTTTTTATCAAATTCCTTGACATTTCCTCATCCTGAATCATGTTGACATGGTTTGCACTATCAAAAATTTGCCTGTCTGCCTATGCTAAAAATAACATAGGTAATCGTCAGAGATGAGCCGTGCGCACGACTTTTTCGTGTTAACACGAACACGCACGACACGATCGTACATCGTGTCGTGCGTGCGTCGACGCGAGCCGTGTCGTGCCGTGCGTGTAACCCTCACTCAAACACTTCGTGCGTGCGTGCGTGCAAAACCAATAGTATCCTCGTGCCGTGCGTGTTGGTACTTTCAGCACTACACGCACGCTGTGAAGCGGGACATTGGTTACTAGGGCCAGCGTTGTTAAATTTAACGATTACTAATCGTTAAATATTCAAAGTTGCGGTTTCATATGTACGTATGTTGTGCAATATCAGTTAATAAGCAAGTGTGTTAAATAAGACATTAAAGTGAGTATACTCAATTTGTTAAATTGATACCAAAATACATAAAACTTGACTACCGTCTGGAAATTAAAAAAATTACATAAAATTTCTTATTGTTGCGTCAGTGTACATAAATATTACTTTAGCATGTGCGCATACATAACTATTTATTCAACTTGACCTTCTCATTTTCCCAAATTTTCTGCAATTCATAATTAACGTGAATGAATCCTACCACACTTTTTGCTTTTGCATTGCAATTTTCAAAAAGTCTTATGCAACATATAGTGACACATATTTAGCTGGGAGGTTGATTCTGAATTATTTTTATCAAATTCCTTGACATTGACTCACCCTGACCCATGCGAACATGGTCCACAATATGAAAAATGTACACGATTTAGTCTGTCTATCCTTAAAATAGCGTAATCTTTAAAATCTTCAGAGTTGTAGTTTAATACGTACCTATGTTATGTAATGTGGGTTAAAACACGTATGCAGTTTTTTTTATCTTTTGCATTTATCAAAAATCGCGTAAAATCTATATAAAATCCAGCCATTTTTTTCATATCGCCCATGTTGTACAAAGAATGTGTTTAATGAGAAATCAGCCACTTTACTGTGTCTTTTTATTCTAAAAAATATATGATGGCTTTATTGCATAATCTATGTACATTTGCGACTGGGAAGTCCAGAACCAATTACGGTGTGTGAATTTACATACGTGGGTATGTAAGTATGTATTTCTGTAGTTGCATGCAACCTTGTATGTGTCTCATTTAATGGCTGCGTGACATTCCGTAGTTATCAACACTTTTAAGTAAGGAAACGATGAGCAGAAAAGAGTTATGGTAGCTTGATGAGGTTTGTTTTGTCTGCATGCATAGACATCCTCGTGTTCTGCAGTATGTGTATGAATACAAAATGTACACTCTTAAAAATAATAAATGCGTTATGAATTCTGTATTAAATAAGAAAATTGTACTAAATCCAGCGTAAACTTTGCTCTTTGTTAAGTAAGGTTACTTTGGATTTATTAGCAGATTTCGGAGTGCATTGTTACAAAACTGGTATTACATTACTACTGTCCGGAGTATTTACAAATTTACATATGACCCTACCACCACGGTAATAACGAGCATATTGGTACAGGAATGTAGTGGTAATGACAAATTTATGTATGTACCACTTCGAAATAAATTAGTACCATACCGGTAAGAAGTTACATATTACAAAATAAATACCAGTACGGAGTACATGCATACGTGACTCTACCAGATTGGTAACAGATTGCATTTGCTTTGTAAAAGAGTAAAATTATTTTTAAGAGTGTATCATGTGCATTGGACGTGAAATTGCATATGTAAAATACATCAACACCCTTTCCATACCACTAGACAAACCTTATATTCAACACATGGATGATTTTATTATCATGCTGGGCTGGAATTTTCCTCACATGTCGAGCAAACCAACCAAATATTTACTTAACTTTACATTTCGCATAGTAACTAAACCCGTTTTATACACATTTTTACACACATACGCCCAACTAACTTACATAACACGGTTACCTACATTCGGCCAAGTTGTATCAAAGGTTTCGCGAAAAAGCTGCAAATATAAGAAAATAAATTAATCAGGCAAAATTGCATCGTAAAATTGCAAAAAATGTGGATTTTGCTAATCCTAATTGCAATTTTGTGCGTCTTAATCGCCACAATCATTAAAAGTGGTCGAGAAAATTATGGAATAATTGAGTCTGGAAATATTCCGGTCGTACCTCCCTCTCTATTTTTAGGTAGTGAAACTAAACTGCATAAGGAAGTCCAACACTTGGAAGATGTCAAACGGTTCAAGAAATATGGAGGAATTTGGGGTGTAAGAATTTCAAAAATTTATATAAATAAAATTTATGAAAAACATAAAATTTTTATGAAATTTGTTCCTAATTAGACTTATCTCGGGAAATCTCCACAAGTTCATATCGCAGATCCGGACCTGATTCGGCTCATTTTCGTTAAAGATTTCCAATATTTTAGTAACCGGCAAGATATCGATTTCGGGACTCCGGTTATGAACGAAATTCTGGATTATTTACCAGGCAAATTAATAATATTCCTAAGAAATTCATTAAGTCTTTAAAATTTAATTTTAAAATTTTAACTATTTTTAGGCGAGAAATGGAAAACTGTTCGAAGCTTGTTAAGCCCACTCTTTACCACATCAAAATTGAAAAATATGAGCGACGTTATTGCTTCCAGTGCGCAAGAATTTATTCAAGATTTGAAATCTGAAGCGGAGAAAAATAACGGGCGTGTTAAAATTGATTGCAGAAAGTAAGTAATGCAAAATTATAGATTTTTAAAGTAACCAAGCCATGAAAAATGAAACAAATGACGCCTCAGTCCAACATTATGTACACGATTATTGCATACACGAAAGATGGTACACTCTTAGCAAAACGGTATTGAATCATCACCAAACGGGGAGCCCACATGACTTAACCAAATTGTGATAATATTTACCCCACATTGTGATAAATCCTCCCCACAATGTGTTAAATCCTCACTATCCAGTGTTACGTTTACACATTGTGGGGAAGATTTATCACAATGTGGGGTAAAGATTATCACAATTTGGTTAAGTCATGTGGGCTCCCCGTTTGGTGACGATTCAATACCGTTTTGCTAAGAGTGTAGTCTATAAAGCGTAAAATGTTTGATACAAGGTCACTCGACTATAGCATTTGATAAGAAAATTACATAGTTTTATACCGGGTTTGTTGTATGCATTTTTGATAATGATTGAAATCAATTCAAGTAAAATTAAAAATTCCAAGCTTACATATACCTGTCGTGAACAACAAAACCTCTTTTCCATGGTTGAGTTACTGAAGGTATTATTTTGGATTATTATTATTATTATTATTCTGTATACATATATATATATATATATACAGAATATATATTATATATATATTATTATTCTGTAGCACAGTGTTGCTCTTTGTGTTCTGTTAATTTTGTTCCAAAAATTAATACAAAATTCAAACAAAATTGACTAAACAACATTTATCATTTCCTACAAAACAGATTCACTTCACTAATTATTTATGAAAATTTTAAGATATTTAATAAATATGTGTGTGTATGTACAAATTTTTCTAGTCGTCTCACCGCCTGGTTAATTGACATGTTTTCCCAAACCGTCCTTGGAGTTCGTATGGAAAATTCGAAAAATCCGAACAACGAGTTTGTCGAAGCATTTAGAGAAATGATGGGAGAAAATACGCAATTCAATCTACTTTATACCCTTTCACGTAAGCAATTCGTATAAATACTAAATATCTCTTTAATTAAATATCTCTCTAATATAAAAAAAATCGTTTCAAATTTTCCAGTAACGTTCCCCTTCTTCACCCGCTTCGCCCCCATGTTCAACCACGAACCGACCAAACTCATCGAATCCGCGTTCAAACAAGTCATGGAAAACCGGAAGAAAAGTGGGAGCACAAATTCCAAAGATTTCGTCGACCTGCTAAATTCCCTCATGGAGAAAGTTGACACCCCCGAATTCCAAAACCTGTCCATCACCGAGGGCACAATTCTCTCCCAAGCCGTAAACTTCTTCCTCGGCGGGTACGAAACGTCCGGAACGACGTTAAGCCACCTCCTCCTGGAACTCGCGACCCACCCCGAAGTCCAGGACAACCTTAAGTCCGAACTGGACAAAATGCTGGACCGTTTCGACGGGAAAATTTGCCACGAGTCCATCTCCGACACCGAAATGCCGTACGCACTCTGCGTCCTTAAGGAGTCATTGCGTCTCGCTCCGCCCCTGTTGCGACCCGAGCGAATCTGCACGCAGGATTGGCGCCATCCCGAAAGTGGTGTTAGTATCAAAAAGGGCACCATTGTCATGATTGCGGCCTGGGCGGCTAACCGAAACCCGAAATACTGGCCAAATCCCGACAAATTTTGGCCGGAGAGGTGGGAAAGCGCGGAAAATTTGAATCCCTACGCGTTCACGACGTTTGGACATGGGCCGAGAAATTGTATCGGTACACGATTCGCGTATGAGAGCTTGAAGCTGTTTTTGTGCAATTTGGTGAAAGAGTTTCGCGTGGAGGTGAGGCCCGATACGCAGTTGAATTATAAGATGGGGTCCACCCTTTTAGTGGCGTTTGATCCGCTCTATGTCGATTTGGTGCTGAGAAATTAGTTGGAGTTAAGATGGAATAACGGAGTCATAGATTTTCAAAATCTTAATCAACCCCTGTTCAATGGTTTTAAGTGAAAATTTCTAAAATGGTATCTAAATATTTCATGAGTTTAAATATAAATGTATGTAACCTTTATTCGTTTAATGTCTATTTTTGATAGTGAAAAACTATCGATTTGAAACAAATTAGTAATTCATATCCCCAATTTTTACATAATAAATTTCCTCAATTTTTTCAATTAATTCGTGTATTTTTTCAAATCAGTTTTGTATATAATACGAATAATTAACTTTACATTAGACTAGGCGCCGTCCATAAATTACGTAACGCTGGCTAGCATGGGCAAGATAGGGTTTTTTCCCTATCCTGCTCATGTCAGCCAGCGTTACGTAATTTATGGACGGCGCCCTATGGAAAGTTTCAGTTATTCCAAAACTCAGAATTTACCCCATATGTGTAAGAAGTTTGTATTTAAAGATATTGAATAGAGGTTAATGTTCAACTCCAATTTGTAAGTGGGATAAGGTACACATAATGATAAGCACAAAATAGAATTTTCCTTAGCTGGAGCAGAAATATCGCCCATTTGTGGCCAGAAAAGATGTCAAAATCCTGTAATGTTTACCTGTTTGGGTTTACGACAACCAAAATTGGTATACTAAAATTAATTGTGGTGAATTATTTTTAATAAATATATATGTCAATACGAAATAAATATTTGCATACTATGTATTAGTTTTTATCGAGTTTTGACTTTATGGTCATTCTTACTATGCAAATTTCATCAGCACAAATAAGTTCATACATATTTATGTACATTTGCTCGACTATGTGTTCATGGTCACAAAATGTCAATAGCCGGAAAGATTATGGTGACAAACTCTTATAGAAGTACATACATACATATGCCATGGTGATGCCAAATTTACCACTCAGCAATAAAATACTACCGATCCGTTGAGAGTTATTACCAAATTAAAACCAGTACGGAGAGTATATCTGTGTGAGTCTACCAGATTTTTACCAGCGTGTATGTATATTACATAAATCTCAATGTTTATTTGATATCAAGATATTTTGGATATATACAGGGTGCACTCTCAATAATTTTTTGACAAAATTGTTACCGGCGGAGATACTATGCAATTCTACCGCGTGGTAACACTACAGTAACAAATTGTCTTCTGAGGGTAAGAAATTGCCTCCGGTATCGGTAATATTTTTAAGCGTTGACATTTGGGGTCGGGCAGGATTTAGCCTCTGTATATATGCTACCCTTCGGTGATAAATTATTACCCGAGCGGTAGAATTGCATAGTACCTCCGTCGGTAACAATATCGTCAAAAAATTATTGAGAGTGTGGTTTAAATGTCAGATTACAATGCAAAATTTGTCAATGAGAAAAAATCGTAAATTTCCATCAGTTACGGATTTTGGATTGAGATTTTTATTAATTTTTATCAAAACTTGTGGAACATTGATGACTAAATTCTTAAAATATTAAATTTCAGAGGCAAAATTTAGATAATTAATGGAGATTTGCGAATTTTTTCCATTAAAAAATTTTCCATTGTAACCTGACATTTAAACCACCCTGTATGTAGACACATAAATCTGAAGGTCTTACCTTGGCTTCGCAAGGGGGAAGGTCAGACTAGTCTATTGAATCTTTCCACTTTATTTTTTTGCATTTTTAGGGTATAATGCCCATTTGGCATTTCCAATGCGAACATTAACCCAAAGCAAGAGATTGTACGTAAGAATGCACGTAAATATTTTGCAAAGTGACTAATGGGTATGTACTTTGTGGGGTGACCAGATTACTCAGTAATAGAGCACATTAAAGGGTAATTGCCGACTAATGGGTACCAATGGGTGCATAATCTGCCAAAAATCTCGGTTTACAAATTATATTTGACTTCTCACATGCCATTACGTACTCAATTTATGAATGTAAATAAATTTAGAACTTTTATTTCCGATAAAGTTTTATGAGCACCTTGTGCACATGCATAAAAGCTAAGGTATGTACTTACATCAGGGGCCGTTCATAAATTATTTCATGCTGGAGGGGAGGGTGTTTAAAGCCCCAGTGCTATGTGACACATGTTAAAGGGGGAGTGCGGAGGGTGAAGAAAGTCGCGATTTTTGCGATACATACTTTATGAATGGCCCCTTACAACCCGTCATGACTACGGCATGACGAAAACTACCATTAATCTAAATTCATACACAGAATCCAGGTGCTATGTATGCTTATCTAAATATGTACATATGTATAACACTAGGTATTTATTTAATTACTTTGTACCCAGTAGGCCAAAGCGTTCCGTTTCTTGTTATAACTCAACCATAACACGACCTTCGTTGAGCCATTACTAAGTATTTACTTACCTAAACTACTTTATCCATCCTGTCATATTTATTCTACTTAAATAAACCAGTGCTTTACATTACTATACATATGGAAAATTTTATTTTTGCATTCTATCAATTTTTGTATTTTTAAAGATCAATTTCCTAAGTAATACAAAAAATTAACTACACAGTAAAGTATGGAAAGTTGCAGTTATTTCAAAACTCTAAATTTAAATATTCATTGAGAAAATACAATGAGAAAATGAATCCATAACTTCGAATAAAAAATATAGAAACGTCGAACTTCTGAGTTTTGCCAAATATGTTATTGATTATATGTTTAAAACGACTTGTTAGTTGGCCATATTAAGACAAATTCTGCCCTAATTAATTAGTCTATTAATTACAACAGTTTTAATGGGAGGTTTAAAATTATCTCGGGGGACATGAAATTTTGCCCCTTTCCATGAAAAACGTTTAGACATGAATTTTTAAAATGTGTTATTATTGAGGTTATTATTCACTTATGTGCGTATTAGTTACCGGAAACTCACCTCACCTCACGAAATGTGAGGGTGAGGTGGGTTGAGGTGACTTGGGATTCCTGCTTATTCAACTCACATCACTTATTAAATATGAGGTGAGGTCAGTTATTTCAAAACTCACCTCAACTCACCTAAACTTACCTTAACTCACCTCACTGGCAATACTACCCGAACGGCGGATACCGTAAAAACTCAAATAGTAGCCGGGGGCTACTATTTACAAAATCGGTGGCAGGGACCCGGCTACTATTTGAGCAAGACTACTATTTGGGCAAGGTCACTATTAATATAAATATGAAGATGGACACGGCTAAATACTATTTGATCGCAGCGATTATATTTTTATTTCGAGAATCAAGTTCGAAGTATATCGTAATAACAGCACCAATTTTACTCTTGGAATCGTAATTGATGACAATTCCATTGGTTCGACCTGCCCTTAACTAATTTCTTCGATGAGCAAAATTACGTGCTCACTTAGATTTTGTGTAACTGAGATGAAATTTAATTGTAATTGAATTTTTTAAATGACCTGGCTAAGAGATATGTGGCTGTGTATGTGTTGGACGTATACGCACGGCCATAATTCGAATAAGGCTACTATTTGGATATGGCTACTATTTGAGCAACGACTATTATTTGAGTTTTTACGGTATATATATTTCTATGACTCTAAACCAAAATTTTACCAGATAGTAATCAAAGATAGGTAATTTTGCTACATATAAATGGTCATGGGTGAAGGACAGACGGATAAGTAAGTGGAATTATTCCACTTGATTTTTTTGCAGTTTTAAGGTATAATTCCCATTTGGCATTTTCAATGTGAACATTCACCCAGAACAAGAGATTCCATGTATGCATGTATTTTCCAAGGTGACTAATGAGCATATTACATAACCAGCCGAAAATCTCGGTTTGCAAATTATATTTGACTTATCTCATGCCACAACGGACTGAACTCACGAATGTAACTAAATGTAGAATTTGTTTCGCGATAACATTTTATGAGCACCACATCTACACGAATAAGAACTTACCCGGTATGCACAAGATTGCGTATCGAATGCTCTTCGCATTGCGTTAATTCGATATACGTTCGATTCGATTCGATTCGATTTATCGTATTATAAGCGCATTCGTTTAGCATGCAAATAAAGAACCTGAAAACGAATACGTTCGTTGGCGTCATATCGAATGCGGATAGAATACGATATAGGAGTGTTTTGGATCCCGTGGACTTTCTCCTCACGATCGAATTCATATCATACACTGATTAACGCATCAAAATCGCACCTCATTTTTTCTCATTCATTCCGAATACGAATAGCATTTTTATAAAGAATTAGAGGGAAACTTGATCCACTCCATGCGGCTCGCTCTTTCATTCACTCATCTGCCTCCATCTTATCCACAATGGCAAGTGCAAAATTTTCAGTTGTGAATTTTTATAAAGAGAAAAAAGTAGCAACGGTTTTGACTTCTTGGCTGGATGCACGCTTGAAATACTGCGCTTGGCCTTCTGGACCCTGTGCTGCCGACAAATTAAAGACTTTTGCACCGCCTGAAAAAGCCTGGCCAAAGTATCCTTGTAAACATATAAAATTTGCAGGTAATTTAAACTAAATAAAATTTTTGTAGAAATTTTGTAAACATTCATTTAACGATTCAAAGTAATTAAATTTTAATAATTTAATTAAGAAATTCTTTGTTTTTTATAGACTCTTTAGAAGAAGCTAACCGCTACCGTGACAAGGCTCAATTTCAGTCGGAGGTCGACTCGTCAGCGCCCGAGAGCCCCCACTTTTCCAAGACAAAACCCCGTCGTAAGAAGATTCAAGTTAAAAAGCCAGCATCGTTTTCTGCCGACCAGGAATCGGACAGTCTCTCATCGAACGAGGAAGAAAACGTCCCTACGACCAACTTTTTAAATTTAGGTGGTGAGCATTATGCCATAATTTTATCAATTCTAAGTGCATTTTTTCAAGTATTAGTATGCATGTAATATAATAACACACTGTTAATTTTGCTTTCGATTAGAATCCGAGATTCCGTCAAATACAGATACTGCACCAGACGACGACAACGTGGAGATTAATGGCCAGGAGGGTGGATCGAGTGAGCGACAAATAGAATTAGTTGATGATGTTTCGAATTATGTTGTCGTCCCCCTTCAAGAACTTGAAAACATAAAAACAGAGCTTAAAAGTAAACATGAGTGTTAAAATTGTGCCTCATCAAATTTGCAAATACCATTTGTAATTTCTCCTTTTACAGATTTACAATTGACAGTGGCGGAAAACCTCGTAAAAATTAACGGGAATTTGGAGGAATTGCTGCGGCGGTCGAACCTCGTAGGTGGCATAGTTGAGGAGATAGCATGCGACCACCCAACTCTCCCTGTGACTACTATTGAGAATTTTGACAAGTTGTCAGAGTGGATAAAAACTCGAGAGAACAAAATAAAGTTGGTAAGCTGTTTGAACTTGCGGCACATGATATGTCACACGGAAAATTATTTGGTGATACGGGCTGAAAAATTTATTTAATATTTTTGAACGGTTAACTAGGTTGCGAAACTAAGGATTTTGGGCGGAGCAAACTCCGAGGAGATAAGCAAACGCGATTTGGATTATCTGTTTGCTAAGAATATTGCCAAAATTGTAACTTTAACGGGGGTGGGAAAAGGGGTCTTGCGTGGTTTTCGTGATTCCGGGCTTATAGATTTGATCAATAGTAAGCAGGCAGTTACCTTCTATTTTATAAAAAACTAATGAGGATAATATAAATAATGTTACGGTCAGTAATAATGAAATAATTTATTAACTATTTAGGTAGTGTTCGGGCAACTAGTGGTGGTGAGCAATTTACAACTGCAAAGGCGGAAGCTGCAATTAAGAAATGGGTCAAAAATAAAAGCGACTCGAGGGCGGAAACAAGATGTCTGGGCGCGTCGCGAAGTCTCTCCGTTCCCAACAACGAAAACGACGAGAACAACTGAAGAGGTTGTTAGAAAAAATGCGAGGTGCCCCGAGCGCGAATAGTTTTAAAAGTACAAATACTAATACACGGAATATTAATTGTTATTCTCATACAGATTGTTTAGATAAAAATGTAAATCATTTAAATTCAGGTCTAGCTTCATCACAAACTAATATTAATATAGAAGACGAAAACGAATTGTATATCGATATGTCACAAGAAACAATTGTCCCTATTGGCCAGGAAATTAGGAGCTGGGTTTTAAAGCATAATGTAAACCACAGTTGTCTTAGAGATTTACTAAAAATTATACATGGTCATAACATTCCTTGCGATTTACCTCTTGATCCAAGGACTTTAATGGAAACAACTCGATTGGTTAATGTTCAACAAGCTAGTGGTGGGTCTTTTGTCTATTTTGGTATTATGAGTGGCGTAACAGATCGTTTTCTAGCTGGTCTTCGTCCATTGTCACAATTTAGCTCCCCAATACATATTAAGCTTCAGAACCAGGTACCTCATCCATTGCTTAGCGTTAGGATTGGAGTGGATGGGATACCTGTCTCCAAAAGCAATAACAAACAATTCTGGCCTGTTTTAGGAGTTCTTGATCAAAGCCAATGCCAAACTCCATTTGTTATTGCTTTGTATTATGGAAATTCTAAACCTACCGACCAACAGTTCCTTCAACCCTTTGTGCAAGAATGCAAAGAATTGGAAGAGAATTGTATTGTTGCTGGGAAGCCATTTTCTTTTCGAATTTCTGCCATTCTTGCTGATGCTCCAGCTCGCAGTTTTCTGAAAAATTGTAAAGCACATAATGCTTATCATGGGTGTGAACGGTGTAATGAAGAGGGTACGTGGAGTGGTAGGGTAATTTACCATGATTCAAATTGCAATCCCCGATCTGATTTGTCATTTGAAGAAATGATCGATGAGGATCATCATAATGGGGAAACAATACTAAAATGTATTTCAATTGGTTTAGTTAGTCAGGTACCTCTGGATTACATGCACCTGGTGTGCTTGGGCGTAACCCGAAAATTACTAAGGATGTGGGTAAAAGGAAAGCTACCACATAGATTACCAAGTAGGGACGTTTTATTAATATCCAAACGTCTACTTCGTCTCAGACCATTCTTTCCTTCAAGCTTTCAAAGAAAGCCAAGGTCTCTTGTTGAAATTGATCACTTTAAAGCTACGGAGTTTAGAACTTTTCTGCTTTATACAGGAGTTGTTGCTTTAAAAGGGATAATAGATAGAAAGCAATATAAATGTTTTTTGTTATTTCACTGTGCCATTTTCATATTGTTATCTTCTAATGCTTCTGAGCCTGAGTGGAACAGTTTAGCAAAATCTTATCTTTGTAAATTTGTTGAAAATTGTTGTGCACTTTATGGACGCGAGTTCCTAATATATAATGTGCACAATCTCTTACACATAAATATCGATGCAGTAAATTACGGGAATCTTGATAGCATAAGTACTTTCCCCTTTGAAAACTTTATGCAGAAAATCAAACACATGTTGCATTCGCATAATTTCAAACTGCAACAGGTTGCAAAAAGAGTTTTGGAAATGCAAAGTTTGGAAAGGGAAGATAAAGAACCTGACAAAAATAATTCACTATGGTTTGAACACGCGTGTAAAATAGGTGACAATTGCTTCTTGCATAAATCAGGAGATATATTAGTTTTAACAAATTTGCTTACTAAATGCAAAAATGAGAATGTAAGATTTGAGGCACAAAAATATATAATTCGTAGTAAACTAGATGAGTATCCTATGGATAGTTCTTTGTTAGGAATTTTTGTGGTAGAGAAGCTTTCTGATAAGTTTACAATTGTTATTAATGCAAGCGATATTGTATGTACATATTTTCGAATGTATTTATCTGACAAAGTTGTTTGTATTCCACTTTTGCATACAATAAAATAAAAAGAATAAATATAAAATTTGAGTACTTATGTCCGAATGAAAACCGCATTAGCAACACAGTCAACAAACAGTATGAGAAACGCATGCATTTTCCCATGTACTAAACGAATTCGATGTCTCGCATTCGACCTGCCACCGTTCCTAGCATGCGACTCAGATTCGTTTCTTGCATGCGGACCGTAAGTTCCGAGGCGACAAACACGCAAGCGAATCGAACTCGGCCGTCGAATTGATATCGCGTTCGATACGTATTCTCTGTGCACACCGGGTAGGTATGTAAATCAGGGGCTGTTAATAAATTATGTGGCGAGAGAGGGGAGAAGGGGTCCAAAGCCCCAGTGCTATGTGACACGTGCTAAAGGGAGAGTGCGGAGGGTGAAGAAAGTCGCGATTTTTGCGTTACATAATTTATGAACGGCCTCTTACAACCCGGCATGATGAAAACTATGTTTTAATCTTTATTAATACAAAGAATCCAGGTGTTCTGTCTCTTTATTCATGTATGTATGAAATTTTATACATACATACATTCATATGCACTGTTGCGTAACTAATTAGTTAGTACCTCAAAAATTATTATACAACTAGATCTGTTGGTCCTTATATGTATGTTTGAGTCAAGGCTGTACGTATACCTGTATTAAATTTACTTCAGGTTTTATAATTCAGTTAAAAATGTGATGTTATTTATGTACTAATGGCCGTCGTTATGGCCGGAAACCATAATATAATCATGGTGGTCAACCTTTACATTTTTATGTGCAATTTTTTTTACTATGATTGTCTGAAACGATGAGCAAGTTATCGCTTTCAGGATAATAAAAATGCGTATAAATGTATAATGCTTGGCCACAGCTCATATTATTCCGCAATCTGAGTTATTCAAAGCAACTAAGAGTCTCCTCGTAGGAAGAAAGAGTAATTTTTCGAACAATATTGAAAAAAATATTTCAAGTACCACATCTTATACTCGTTTTTCGAAACTTGACTCAAGGAACATGTCCGAGCATTCAAAGGCACAGGAGAAGATGAGAGATCAATCAATTGCAATTGTTGGGGTAGCATTTCGCTTACCTGGTGCAAACGATGGGGCCACTTTATGGAAAAACCTCATGACCGGAACCGACTCCGTGGGCGTAGTCCCATCGAATAGGTGGACAAAGGGGAAAGGGTGTCGTGAGCTCAAACAAGTGCAAAAATCTGTTAAAGCTGGCTTCATTGATAGCGATGTGGACAAATTTGACTCAAATTTTTGGGGATTGTCACCACTTGAGTTGGGTTTCATTGACCCGCAGGCACGACTTCTGCTCCAACTAAGTTGGGAGGTGGGTTAATTAATATTTCTAGTAATATATATTTCTTGTTTATGGTGATCATAGATGTGTTTAGAATAGATCCGGTTACTTTTAGAAACCGTCTCAGCATGGAGAAGAATTTGGGCATAATTTGGGGATAATTTTGGGATAATGCATGTTGCACGTTTGCACATCATTAAAAATTTTAAAAACTAAGAATATAATTATATTAGTTTGAGTTCCTCTATTCTATGGTGTGATCATTTAAATAGGAGACTTTTTTACATACAAAGCTTATGGCTGGCAGTTTCTTCCTTAAATAATCACACCATAATCACAATTATAGCCAAGTGCTGGTTCTTGAAAATGTAATAAAACTTGGTAAATAATTCCTGTAAATATTGCATCGAGTTACTAAATACCTGTGCATTTCCAGGCTCTCGAGAACGCAGGGATCCCACCAATGTCTCTACGTGGTACTGCGGCTTCTGTACTTGTAGGCATGTGGAGAGATGAATATAAGGATCTTATCTTGACTTCTGGATCCAGTGAAGGAGGGGAGGAGCTACGCCGTTACCTGGGGTGCTCAACGGGGAACGCTGCTGCAAGGATTGCTCAATTTTTTAGAACGACGGGTCCGACCGAAGGGATTGAGGCGGGATGTTCTTCATCCTCATGCGCAATTGATGTCGCTATGCGTCATTTACGTAGCAGAAGGACAAGTTTGGCTCTTGCTGGCGGAGCAAATCTCATCTTGAAAGTACCATGATTTTCAGGTAACACGAAATGGTTACTAAATAAAAGTTAAATTCTACTTATGATTTACTGACCGCCCACTTAGCACAATTTCTTCTTTGAAAGTGTATTGATGCCTTATGATCGATAAATTATCGTAGGATTTTTTTACAGGGTTATACGAAATCGATATCAATAACAGTAACGATATCGTACTCATTTAAGTTATATTGAGTGTGCCTCTTCTTGTTACAGGGCGTGTTGTCCCCTGCTGGTCGGTGTAAAGTTTTTCAAGTTGATGCAGATGGTTTTGCAAGAGCGGATGGAGGAATTATCTACGTCCTTAAACGAGTTTCGGATGCTATCAGGGATGGCGATCGCATACTTGGAGTTATCAGGGGCTTCGGATCTTCGCAGGATACTCTAAGCCGAAATGTTGGTACCCCAACCATTGAAGGCGAGTCAGCCGCTATGCTGCTGGCTCTGAAAGATGCAGAGGTGAACCCGGAGGATGTTGATTGGGTGGAAATGCACGGAACGGGGACTCGAGTTGGTGACCCCGTGGAGGTAGCGTCTACTCGACTAGCATACAAAATTTCGTCGGGCGAAAGAACGCGACCATTGATCATTACCTCCATCAAAGCTAATATTGGTCATATGGAAAGCGTGTCAGGAGCGGGTGGTCTGCTCAAAGTTCTTTTAGCCATGGAGCACAATTGCATTCCAGCCCAACTTCTAACTGCCGACCTCAATCCTGAAATCAACTTTGGTGGACTAACAATACCGAAGGTGGCACTTGACTGGAAAGGACGACTTGCCGGTGTGTCCTCATTCGGCATAACGGGTACGAATACTCACCTTATTTTGGAGCGTCCCAGGCCTAAACGAACACCTCTACTCATGAACAAACGTACACCGCTATACATACTCCCCATCTCGGGAAAATCTGCCGCTGCACTCACAAATTTGAGAACCGAGCATGTCAAGGCCTTGGAATTGCTAGTGGAACACGGTAATTTCGAAACAAATAATTATTGACAAAATACGTATGGTATCCCTTTTAACGTATGATAAACTGCTTTCACCCCTTGGTTACATTCTATGTAACAGTTTATTCTGTCAATTATCGTTTAGTTATAATTTCGTAAAATTCTTAACTGTGCTAGCTAATAATTTTATAATTCATGCACTAGGATTTATGCATATTTTTCCGAGTAGTTACACATATATATATCTATGTATCAATACTACAATTTGTCCGTGTTTATCGTAGATGGTGACGACGACTTGTTAGCAGCCTACTGCTTCACTGCAGCCACATGTAGACATCATTTTGATGAACATAGATCAGTTTCCATGGGTACCAACCGTTCCGAGTTACTTGAGGCTCTAAAGTTGAACAATTTCGAATCAGTGGGTGAAAAGAAAACTAAGAATACCGCGACAGCTGGACACACTCCTATTTCTTTTCTCTTTCCTGGTGAAGGCTGTCAATATGTCAGCATGGGATTAGAGTTATATAATTCATGCCCTCCGTACCGTCGCCACTTTAATGAAGTAAACTCCTATTTCATCCAATTCACAGGGATAAACCTCCTTGAATGGCTAAGGGGTGAAAGTGATATACCACTCTGTCCTTTACTTTGCACGTTTGCTGTGGAGTACTCACTTCTAAATATGTGGGTAGACTGGGGTGTAAAACCCAACTTGTGTGTGGTTGGTCACTCATCTGGGGAAGTGGCCGCAGCAACGGCTGTTGGTGAGCTGGATCTCCCTACCGCGGTACAGCTGATGGCATCCCTACGAAAAAATCTTTTGGAGGCGGTTGAACCAGGGTGTATGGTCGTTCTAATGGCGGACGAGTTATTGACAAGAAAAATGATTCATGAATATTTAGAGATCAACATTGTAAATAACAAATCTGAGGAAGGTTGGATCGACATTTCAGCCTTTAATTCATCGAATCAGACAGTAGTGTCAGGTCCGAAGGAAACCATGGAAAAATTTTCGACCTTCGTCCGCAAAAATTATCTTATAAAAGCCACCATTATTAGTCACGTTCATCATGCTTATCACTCACGGTCGTTTGAGCAAGGATCGACTGCTTTTAAGATGGAACTGGATAAATTACAATTTGGTAGCCGATATCGGAAGCCGGCGTATATATCCTCAGTGTTTGGACGGAAATTAGAGGACTCAGAACACTTGGACCCTTCATATTGGTCAGCGTGCTTCAAACAACCTGTGAAATTTATTGGATCCTCTGTCGCCGCTACGGCTCACCTTGGTGGTCGGCTATTTCTAGAAATTAGCCCTCAACCGGTGATAAGTTCCTTAATTGTGAACAATTTCTCTGAGCATGATCTTGTCTGTATTCCCTCACTAAGAAGGAACGTCCCAAATTGGACCACCTTAGCGGAAGCTATCGCTACTTTGTACCTTCATCGTGTTCAGCTTGACTGGACACAAGTCTGGATCAGTTTGATTGGCGTCAATATATTGCATAAGAAAGTACCCCACCTTCTACCTACGTATCCATTCCAAAATGAAGGACCTTTTTGGTTCAACCCTTCAACGATTTCAAGACGTGAGGCTGGTGTTAAGTGCAAATCTAAAATAGTCCACCCCTTACTGGGCTCAATGTTCCCAGTCCCGCAATGTGGGATAATAAATCATATAGCAATTTTTGAAACGTCTACGGAAGGATTGCTTGATAGGGCGGGAAGCTGGCTAGTAGATCATAACATCGGGCCCCACAATATCTTCCCTGCCGCAGGATATATAGAAATGGGTTTTGCGGTTGGGACGGTGCTTTTCAAAATGAAGGAGCCCCCGGGTGGTATCAAGTTGTCTAACATCGACATTAAAACAGTTCTATCATTAGATGTGAAGTCGGTCATTCAAACAAATGTGACTTATGATGGAGAAATTTTCAATATCTGCATATCCAGCCAGCGGGAGACTGATGACAGTGGCTGGCAGTTGCACGCTACACTTAATTAAGTAGTTCAACCTGGCACTGCTTTAATAAATAATGAAGAATATTTGGATAACTTTGCAGGTGAATCAGTGGAATCACTCTACATTGAAATGTCAGACTTGGGTTATAAATTTGGCCCACGATTCAGATCACTAATGAATTTAAAATCATCCCTCCTCCCCTCACGTTGTTCGCTAACGGCAGACGTAACGTTAGCGACATTTGACCAAGATACAAATGAAATTGGTAGCTTTGTGGTTCATCCCACCATATTGGATGCTTTAATTCAGGCCGCACTAATTGCACAACCAGGTCCACTGACAACATTGAGGGTCCCGATTAAAATTTCGACAGTAGAGGTACTTTGCCATGTTCCTAGCGATGACCTCAAGCCCATGTGTGACAAGCATCTTCGTGTCCAAGCCGGCATGAATTCAAGCACGCTGTTTATCCGCGGAAAGGATTCAATATGGCGTGCTCAGGTTTATATTACGAACCTGACCACAGTCAGCACAACAGTAGACGCGATTCAAAGAATGACTAACGCAAGCCCAAATACCAATCACCATGACGAGGAGGACAAAGTGCTACCCCTATTTGTAGAGGAATGGAGTGCAGAAAACAAAGTAAATCTGATTCCCATGAACAACACTTGCATACACGAACAGTTTGCATCCTTTAAACCAATCTCCAGGACTGCCGCAGAAATTCAAGAGTATAAGCGAATTACTTCATACATAGGGGCACGAATTGCTGCGACATTAAAGTTGCTCGGATTCTGTTTCTTACCTAATGAGAGTTTCACACTTGGGGAAATTGCTTCCCGTCTTGGCTTATCTCATTTGGCACCAGCTTTCTTGGCCAGGCTGCTTCACTATGCAGGTCAGGCAGGTCTGTTGAATCAAGTGTCCGCAACCGAATGCATCGTATTACCGCATTCTGATTTTGGGATAACCGAGAATCTCTTACGTCATCAGGACAGAATTTTGCGAGATGACTGGGCTTTTACAGAGTTTTACATTTCGAAATTGGGTGACTTTCTTCGTGGAACGGAATCCATTCTTCCTCACCTCTTACCTCCCTCGCTTCCCACATTGCAACTACACACCGGAGATATTAGTAACCAAACAGAAGAAAGTACTGATTTCTCTGCAGAACGACTGTACCGTACTACCGTGATGTGTGCCACACTCACTGAAAACTTAATTTCCGTTTTTGCCACTTTCACGAAAAACAACTTTAGGGGTTTACGCATTTTGGAAGTTGGGGCCGGCACTGGTGCAGCTACGCGAGAACTTCTACATCTTCTTCACGGGTCTTCGTCCTCTTATACCTTCACCGACATTTCAACAAATTTCCTCAATACAGCAGAAGATTCCTTACCCCCTGTTCCAGGAGTAGAGGTGGACATCCGTATCCTGGACGTCGAGAAAGATGTCCTTGCACAGGGTTTTGAAATAGCTGCATTCGATGTCATTATTGCGATGAACGTCTTGCATGCAACTACTGATCTAGGAAAGGTGCTTGGCAACCTGCGCCTATTGCTTGCCCCTGGAGGCAACATATTCATTGCCGAACAACTGCGCCCATGTGCATTTATAGATATCATATTCGGACACTGCAAGGGCTATTGGCTATTCCAGGACGATATTCGATCAGGTCATTGCCTAATTAACGGGGAAGCATGGAAGTTAGTTCTTCAGTCTGCTGGATATGGAAAGGTATCAATTGTAGAAAATACTGATTTCGATGTTGGAGTAATTGTCGCCAAAAATGAAAATCCGCCATCGCCTTTCCATATAATTGCGACCAGTGATGACGATCAGTTTGCGAACCAACTAAAAGCTTCAAGTAATGGACTTGCGACATGGTGGAATATTAATAATCAACAAATTGCTGTAAAACCCAACAATAAGATCGTGTACTGCTTCCCACATTCCAATACGCATTCTACTCGGGAGTCGAATCAGGAGCGAGAACAATTAAAACACTTCCTTGCATTTGCCCAGGCCTTATTATCGATTGGAAAGGTACAAATCTTTCTTGTGAGTCATGGTCTTATGCCAGTCCGAGATGAGGAGGCCTGCTATCTAGTTGCTGGAGCAATACGCGGATTTTCCAGATCTCTCGCAAACGAAATGCTAGAACTAGACATGGTGTGGATAGACCTTGATATCGATGAAGACGCCGAGCAGCGGGTCAACGAAATAATAATGGAAATTAGAAATAAACAAAAATTACGACGTCGCAGCGAGGAGCCGTTTGTAGCTTATCGAGGGGGAGTTCGCCATGTAGGAAAGTTTGTCCCATTTGTGTCTCCCTTTGCTACCATACCACTACGCCAAACAGAGAACCCTGTCAAATTACGACTTCCTAAATCCTGCGCCCTCGAGGACTTACAATGGGATTATTCTACTTCAATTCGGCCCGCCCATTCCCTTCCGCAAGACCACGTGAGCTATCCAAAACACAATAATATAGCCATCACTCACACGGTGCTAAGTGTTTACAGAAATTGATAATTCTTAGATACTATGCCCCTGTCATTATCAAATAGGGTTATTTCGGGCTAATTTCATTGACAATTATTAACAGAGTTTTTATTATGATAATGAAGCAAATTGAGGCTGGGAGAATAGCTGCTCAGAATGGTCAATTTCTGTTAAAGTTCAAGACTGTATGAGTGCTGAGCGGTATTGAAAATACACCATTTTTGCTTTACTCATGTATTTTAATTTATGGATACCTTTCGTAATTAGATTCAAATCCGGGTCCACGCGTCCGGATTAAACTTTAGGGACATTTTGTCCATCAGAAAACCAACTTTGGAATTTGCACCAGCGTCCGCTATAGGATCAGATATTTGTGGAGAAGTGATTGCAGTGGGATCGGCCGTTCGGAACATATGTGTTGGTGCGAACGTTCTGGCGATGAGCCTGGAAGCACTCCCCCTACCTAACGTTGTTCAAATAAATGCATCACACGTGGCCTTATTGCCACAGAACTTGACCCATGTCGAGGGGGCCACCTTGCCAACTGCATTTTATACTGTTTATCACTCCCTTGTCACCGTCGGTAATTTGAGCCGTGGAGAATGGGTCTTGATCCACACAGCATCTGGGGGAGTTGGCCTTGTTGCAATTCAAGTCGCGCGGGAAATTGGGGCCAAAATTGTATGTACGGCTGGCAGCCGCAGGAAAAGGGCTTACTTAACAGACGTACTAGGCTTAAAAAATGTAACCAGCAGCAGGGATATTTCCCGTTTTTTAGCCGGTGTAAAGTCCGCAACCGGAAACGCTGGGGTCCACCTTGTCCTAAACTCACTCACCTCAAAGGGCTGGAAAGAGGCTTCAATTTATGTGACGAGAACAGGAGGAAGATTCATAGAGATGAGCAAACTGAATGTTTGGAGCCATGCAGAAGTTGATCAAATTCGTCCTGATGTGAGATATTCCATTGTAGACCTCAGTAGTCGGGACGACGACCGAACAGTTTACCTAGCACATGAAATGCAAACTTGGTTGGCCAATGGGAAACTGGCACCTATAGCTTACTCAGTGTTTGAACCACCAGCCATAATTTCTGCCCTCTGATACCTACAAAGTGCAGCCCACATAGGAAAAGTAGTCATAAGGTGGACAAAGAATATCTTCAATTATCGAAGCACATATTTGCTAACAGGAGGTTGTGGCGCTCTTGGAATTGAACTTGCTAAACTTATGCTATCGAATGGAGCCAAACACCTAGTATTAGTGAGCAGAAAACATGGTGGGAAGGAAGTCGTGCTCTCAAATCATTTTAATTGTACTGACCATGACTTGGCCGGCGTGGTGGTGGAATATGGTGACATTTCTACACGTGCTGGGGTGGATGAGATACTTGGAAAAATTTCGTCGTTTGGGATGCCACCACTTAGGGGTGTTTTTCACATGGCAGGTATCTTGTCGGATGGAACTATTCCAAATATGACAATGGAGAAGATGGATGTCGTATGGAGAGGGAAGGTGGATGGTGCATGGGCTCTTCATGCAGCAACGTCTCATCTTAATCTAGAGCATTTTGTACTGTATTCGTCAGCCACTTGGATTCTTGGGAGCCCGGGGCAAGCAAACTATTCCGCTGCGAATGCTGCACTTGCGTCTCTTGCTGATTACAGGCACCGCCTTGGGCTAAACGCAACAAGTATCGCCTGGGGGCAATGGGGCGACATTGGAATGGTGCGTGACTTGGAGAGGAAGGTTTTTGGAGTCAACCCATTTTCTACTGCGCGCGGGATCTGTACGATGGAACACATCCTACGAAACGTAACCCTGATTGGTAACAACGTCATGGCAGCCGAACTAAGCGGAGACGTGACAACTTCGTGGATAACCCCGCATATCATCACTCCTTCGAATGATCATGAAGAGATTATAACTGACAGCAATGAACAAAACGAAAACCGGCTTGACAATTTGGAACAGTCCGTTGCTATTTTAGTAGCAAAAATGCTAAGATTCAAAGATCCCTCAAAACTCATTGATAAGGACTTGAGCGATATAGGTATGGATTCGTTGATGCGAATTGAATTGAGAACCAAAATCATCACACGGTATAACGCACTTGTGGACGTATCCGATGCTGAAACTATAACAGACATTGTCCAGCTACTGAAGAAGGCACTCAAAGAGACGAAACTATCTTGAACCAAAATAACAATGTTGTCTTGTCTAATATTTTTTAAACCTCAGCAGTGTGGATTGTTAAAGGTATGTAAAGGCGTTAATGGGCAAAGCTAGTGATCCATAACTATGACTTTTGCAATCATGGTTGTGACCTTCAAATATATAAATATGTATATTTAATTAACGAATTTATTGTCAGACCAATTTACATTTATTGTGGTAACCAATCTTTGGATATACTGCGGGAAGTTATATAGTGGGCATTAGTCTATTACATAGAAGCAACACCCAACTAGCCTAATAGTAACACGATAATCTATCAGTATAGTAGGTTGAAACTACTATTGTGATTATGATATAAAATATGTACAATTCAATTTACCTTAATTCAAGTGTTACTTACATTCAGTCGATCAGACGGGTTTACAAGTTAACACATCATGTAAATAAACATCTGTCTATACTAATTAACTAAAAACTATTGGAATACTATGTACTAATCTTACGACGGTGACGGGTTCTACCCTGCTGATTAGGTTTGGTCCACTCTATTTGGATTTGGTCTTAAGAAATTAAGTTTTGGGGGAAGATTGATGAGAAAGATAAATATAGAAATACAGATTTTAATTAGAAACTGAGCATTTACAAAATCCACTTCTTTTATTAGTTTCTTTCCTACAATTACATAAATACACGGGCAAATCATATAATCTGTTCAACCAATCATACTTATTCTTACTTACTGATGAATCATCAGTGATGATACTTACTTATGTATCATCCAACTTGTGAAATGCAATCTCAAGAATATTTGTACCTGAAATTCAGTTACATAATTTCATAACGGCCATTACCCTACAATAATGAAAATTTACAACTCAACAAACTATCATCAATGGGGTAGCTAGTTATTACCAAATTAACGTGTACCAGTTCCGAGTGTGTTTGTGATTTCACAACATTTTTAGCCGAGTAGAAAATGACAGAATTCTACCCCGATGGATTTTAACAAACACTCTTTCACAGAATAAGAGTTTTCCGTGTATCATGCGTTTACGCACAACGCATCCTCTGCTCGTGTTGCCCGGAAAAGTTGTATCGATCCTATCTAGCTGCCTGGCAGTGTTTCGCATGTAAAAATAATGTTTACTAAAGCAGACATTCTTCTGATTATTTTTGTAGTGGTAATTCTGAGCAAAATCATATTCAAATGATAATCATATTAAGGGGTTAAAATCCACTTATTTTCAACTACATATCTCATCTCATGTCAACTCCTCAAATCTATGGAATGGAAGATATTCTCGCCTAGCATAAAGTCCTATGCAATCACCAGGTTGGTTAAATAAATCATTATTTTTGTATATCATAAAATGGGTAGGATCGAATGTTTCTGTAATCCGAAACCTAATCGGATCGGAAATTCTTTTTTATCAAAAAAATTGACTGGGCATGGATGTTTCTACTCCATAAATCGGATCGGATGTGATAATTTTTAAATCCAGAAAACGGACAAAATAGAATTTTTTTGATTTAAATCTTAATAACACCGGCCCGGCCGGATAGGATTTCTGAAAAACCTTGATCCGACTGAGATTATACAGTCTTGCACACTTGGGAAGATTATTAAAACTTGTGCCCAAAAAAATGCGATTTTTTTTACTTTTACGACTTTCTCCCCGATTCAATTTCATACTAATTCTCTCATTCATCTGTTTTTTTCTTAGTTGCTGGAACGCATATTTTCCTTCCTCGACCTGGAATCTTTGAAAAACTGTCGCCTCATATGTTCCCAATGGGCCTACGAAGCCGGACGGATTTTCCCCGAGGTCAAGATTGAAATCCAAACATCCCACGGATACCAAGAAATTGAATTTCACCCCGCTCCCAATGTAATCAAGTGGGCACGTGATTTTCGCGCGAAAATATCCTGCGATCATTTATTCCATAATGACCAATACCTTGACCAGGTCTTAAGAGACAATGCGTAATAGAATTTTCCTTCTAAATATTTAATAGGCTGGCGAAACCAAGTCCTTGCAGCAGGCGTCCTACACTCATCTAATCGAGTTGTTTCCATCCCTCGAATTTCTCGACTTTGACGGCTGGCCCGCACTTTTCACAACGGATCAAGAGGTCAACAAAGAACCCAAATGTTTGGCAGCCCTTGCATCAACAGAGGGACCACACCCTTGCCCAAATTTGACCGGTCTACGAGCTGATTACTTAATAAAGGAGGACATGGTCAATGCAATGACATCGTTCCCCAGACTTTTGAACTTCCTCGTGGTCCGCATTTACCAAAGGGATGTCAGAACCGTGACCAAGGTGGGGCAAATGCTGCGTCGTCATTCCACATCTTTAAAATTATTCGAGCTGGTTTGGCATACCCAAAAAGAACGAGACTTTATCTCTCAAAAGATCGACCTGCCAAGATATTTTCCTCAACTTGAATCCTTACGATTAAAAGTTGCCATTCACACAGGACCCGAGGAAATAGAAAGATTCGCTCTTGACATGGTGGATGTATTTTATTTCCGGCCATTATTTTTGGTAAGTTACATAAGTACACAAATTAAAACAGTTTCGAAATCTCTAGCGTTTCTGAATGAGGATATTCATTATTTCTTCGTATTTCTCATATCTTAAATATTTTACGCTTACGAGCGAATTAACCAAAAATTGCGTTACGATTTATACGAAACCTGAGACCTTATATTGTTTTTAAACTTTGGCAAGTAATGAATTTGAAATACAAACATTTATGCAGGAAAATGGGCTGAAAATTTCCATGCCACGGTTAACACAGCTTCAAATTGTGGTCAGCTACTCGGTGAACCCCGACTTTTGGGTCTACCTTATTCCGGACTGTGACCAAAATGGGAGTGCATTTGAAATCCCACAAATCAAAATTTTGAGCACTTCGCTTGTCACGGAGAATTGTGGGTCCGTCCAAGTAACAAGATTCTCCCGGACATTTCCTAACCTTACCATGTTCCAGCATGTAATCAAAATAGGTGATCAATTCCATGGCTGTAATCACAAAATTCGGAAAGGACGACTCGTAAAAACCGAAAAATCGGTGGAAAATATAGGATTAGAATACCCGGATTACATTGATATTCAGCTCCGCTCAATTCTACAAATTTCAGGTGAACCTGAAGGCTTCCTTTGGGTTTAAGTTATTATTTTTACTACTTTTTGACACTTTGTTTATTAATGTTTGACTAAATATGTACATATGTGACAAATTTTTATGAATTACGTAAGACAGTTAAAAAATAAATGTTTCACAGTTAATTTTGCGCTTATTTAACTTATGGTGGTAAATATGTATAACGGAAATTTAAATAATAAAAATATACCTACAAAATTTTAGGCTTATTACACGAAACATTTATTTATTTATCAATTTAATTTATGTATAAAGTTTATAAAATTTATGTAAAAAAATATGTTATCCATTAGTGAAATCACTTTGCTAAATATAAAACACATTGAAATAATGCATGTAATTATTGATTTACGAAGATGTACATACGTATTTAGATATTTACATAAGCATGAATAAAACATTATCCAAACAGCCTGCACTCACTTGTGCATATTTTCTTGTGCAAAATAAGCACAAAACGCAATAACCAATACCACATGTTTTTTACCAAAAAAATTAGTCACCACAAAACGAACCATACATATGCATAATGTGCATGGTTATCATACATAGTTACATATTCCTACATATAAAGTTCTACGTAATATTAAGGAAGTTGACTTCCTGTAAGTGTAAATGAAGCTGATAAGTACACAAATAAATATAGCATGGTCGTCATTTCATGACTCCGACGAATTTTCACTCCGCCGTCGAGCTGGTTAATCCAGCCCAGCAAATTACATGCATACTTCAATTTATCGAAATGGAAGTAAAATTCGAGCGCGATGAAAACTTAGCAATCTATCCTCCCAACTGGGACACCATTCTAGACCAATTTTTGCATCCGCCTGACCCAACTTTCTCCACGAAGGACTTAGAGCTAAGCAAGAAACTGCAATTGGAGCCTTATCCATCAATCGGGGAGCTATCAATATTGGCTAAAATCGCGTACTCCAGCTATGAGGATGCCAAGGAGGAGTTGAAATGTAAGCTTTACCTTCAGTTACAATATGTAATTTACATATTTAATGCTGCGATTTTTTACCTCACATTAAAATTCAATTTTCTCAGAACATGTACATGTGTAGATGTTTCAAAATTATGTTTATATGTAGCAGTTATAGCAAAATACATGCATATGTACATATATGTACATGCATGGTACAAAATGGAATCAACAAAGTTAGTTGCATACCAGGACAGAAACAGTAAGGCCAATATTCATGTAAGGTCCCCTACTGTAAGGGACCTTACATGAAGACGAAGGCAAACATTTTCGGTGTACAAGTTTAACTCAATCAATTCGCATCAATATTCCACAAGTTACAATTTAGCTGTGTGAATAAAGTTCTTCTTTCTTTTCAAATCGAACGCATTCATGTTGCACGGTCCCTATTCATGATATCATTTTATAACCACTAAACCAAGCACTATCTAACAGGAAATTATCAAGCTACGGCAATAATTCTGCGATGCATTAATTCACTTTGAGTGCTATTTATTTCGTATACGGTACAGTTTTTGTCTATTAATTATTAAGTAAAAATCGAAATTTGTCAATCTTCTTTAACATAAGGCATGTCCCAGGTTTTGTTAGACAGTTGTATTATATAGTTTGCTGAGCAATTAGTGGATATTGTTGCTTAGCTATCTTAGTTTTTTGAAACGCAATTTCAAGGGCTTCCAGCAGGTGTAACGCATTTTTTATTAAAATGATGAAATTCAATAGAAATCGGGGTCAAAGTGAAAACCTCGCGAATCGAGTTTTTCACAAGTACAAAATTGTCGCTTGACGTGACTTGAAAATGACGTGGCAGTACTTCAACGCGGAAAGGTGTCACAAAACGGTAATCTACCTTTATATTTCGAAGTATGAGGATGCCAAAAAGTGCACTTTTTAGAAATTTCCAGGCCACCTCTGTTCATAGCCATCTATCGAAACTCGAAAAACGTAAAAACACTTTTCAGCACTACTCCTTCCACGTAAATTCGTGGCGCTACTCGGGTACTGCCAATTTCAAAGTACTTGTTCGACAACATTGAAGTTCATAAACTGAGGATTACGAAAAAACATAAATCAAGTTTCCCAAAGTACGTTAATGACTAAAAAAGGAGAGTGCAAAAAATTTATAAAAAAGAGCGTCGATAAATGTCATTAAAAATTATCGATATTTATGATGAAAACTACGGCAAAGTTGATCTATCAGAGACACCGGAATTGAAATTTTTTCACTCCCCCAACTCCCCTGATGTGGAATATCAACGTGAGTTTAAAGTGAAAACCAAATTCCTTATTAAATTCCTCGTTTGCCTGGGGCCGGACGGTTTTGGCAACATTTCGCCACCTTATATTTGAAAATTTACCAGAAATACAAAAGCTAATAAAAATGAATTTTTGAAAGTGTCACAGCTCTGGATAAGGAAACTTCATAATCTGCACGAAATTTGATTTTGGCCGGACCGCGCAACCTTCCATTTCGCTAAAATTTTAACCGCGTACTTTCGGGCTGAACGAGTCGATTTTGTCCTCTAAAAAGACAACGCTTCAAATGCCCCTTAATTGCAACGAATCAAAAAAATTTATACCTTTTACGAAACAAGATACTCTAACCTTAAGGCCAATGAGAAAAAGCTGGAAGAATTCAAACGCGAATGGCGAAAAATCAGCCAGTACATTTAGCAAACTAGTGAGAATCACAAATTCGTGGGTTGTTGCGAAAATTCGTATTGGTGGTAAGGAATGGAATAAGAAAAATCCTCAGTGACCAAAACTGGTTGGTATGATTACCACCTACCCTGCACCGAAGACTTATAAAAATATTTTAACCAGGTCGAACTACACAGGTCATGGATCATTGTCTAACTTTCCCTGGGACACGGTATAATTGAGATGATTTAGTGTGCATGTATCATACATGATGCATGTACATAAGTATGTACATATGTATATGTATATATCAACGTGTAATATATAGTTTTGTTTTCTCACTTGCAGTAAATCTATCGGAATACGAGATTATCTGCCATGCAGAAAATGAATCTTTCCACGCATCAATCTTCTTTCGTGAAGGTAGTCTCTCCGAGTTGAGACATCGGCAGCTTATGATAGCATTTAGAGGTAAATGTGAGTGACATTTCCACAAATTAGATGTTCAACTCAAAATTCTTATACAAATTTAGGCACAGAATTCGAAAAAGGAGACGTTGAAGCCGACCTCCAGGGCATCGTCAATAACCAGAAAACACCACAGATAAACTCTGCCTGCACGTTCGCTCTAAACTTCAGGGAAATTGTCGAAAAAATTGTCACGCTGTCAATTGACACGGATCCCGTTCATCTCATCCTCACTGGACACTCCCTTGGTGGTTGGTTAGCCCAAATTGCAACTTTCGCTCTAAAGTATGTAGAATTCAGTCACTGCGCCACACAATTTAAGAGGGTCAAGGACGACCGATGCCATGCTCACTGTGTCGTATTCGACAGTCCTGGTGCCCAGCTGATACTAAACTATATCAATTCACTTCCCGAGATTCGAAAAAATCACGATTTGCACACTATTTCCTTAGACATTTGCAATTACGTCATTTATCCAAACCTTGTTAACGTAATCAATCCTCCGTTTGGAGATATGGTGCAAATTAGCTCGGAGCAAATTTGCGCATCACTTAAACCTCTCAAGAGTTTAGCGTTTTCCACTATCGGTCACACTAGAAGGTTTCATAGTATTGATGTATTCATACAGATTTTAAATCCAGGGAACCAGTTTCCCCGATCTGTGACATCTCTGCTAAAACAACCGGTACACATAGTTAAAAATTGGTTGTCTGCTTTACTCATTGGTGACTCAGTAGCGAAGTTTGACCGCAGTCTAAATTCGGATGTATCATATTTACGAGTAGTAAACTGGCCCATGGTAGTCTTTTCAGGATGGAACACTAAACTAGATAAGGCACTAGGACGACGAAGAAAAATTCTTATCAAAGGTTTATCTTCTTTACGCGATTCCAATGCTAGGAGAGAACTCATCGAGTGGGTTTCAAGTGCAGAAAAATATTGCAAAACTGTACCCTTGCAAAATGGCCAACTTAGCTTGTCAATGACTCGCTTTAGTGAGATTGAGAAAAGAATTATTGAACAATTTGAACGAATTAGATTATGGAAGGAGTACATCTGACATGATAAGATGGATAACATAATTAATATTAGTAGTCCAGAACTGAAACATTTTTTGAAAAATGACTTCAAATTTGCAACTCAAAATGGGAGGATGAGTTTTGAATCTAAGAACAAGTATTACCTGCTTAAAAATTGGTACTCATTTAATCTCCATAACGAATTATTGTTAGAAATTGATAATCTGCCAGATTATAATTTTACCTCTGTCTTACTTCAGAGTGAGTTATTCTGTGATGAAATGCTTGCCAGGTTCTCCAACGTAAAATTTAGTGGAACTGACCCCCTTGAAATCTATGGCGCAAATAAAAATCCACTCACAATCTTGATATCAGCAAGTAAAGACATATTAACTTTGACATTGCTCAAGTTCATATTTTTGAAACGTAATGGATCAAATTTATCACTCAATACGGCAATAATTTTGAAATATGACCCGAAAAATTCCATATATCGAGGAGAACTTGACATAAAATTGAATGCAATTACCTTAATCATAATTTACTGCATTGAAGGGAAGGTGTCGGATGATCAAATTACGAAATTCTCGTTTAATCCTTCAATTAAGTACGTCTGGCTAAAACATTGCACCGACATCAAACAGACATTTATGCCCAATTCTGACGAGCCTGCACAAAATGAAAATAAAAGCGCAATCCCTCGTTCTTTCGTACTCCATGATTTTGATATTGATGATGAGTTGTTGTCATGCATTATGACAAAAAAAATTACTTTGCAAGGACAACAACACTTGTTAAGAGATGTCATACCTGAGAAGATACAAGAGCTCAAAGAATTCTTAGACTCATCTCCATCCTCCATCTTATCCATTCTGGAAGGCAGCCAGGAAATGGGTCACACTCCAAAAACTGTATTCGACCTGAAAAGCACATATTTTGACATTGCTCGCACCATGAATCGCGACGAGTTATTGGCATATTACTCTAGAAAAGTAGCAAAATACGAAACCATTGTTGTATTTGAGTGCAACAAGGAGGATTATTTAATTCAGCAAAGAGTCATTGAGCCACTTTCCCAAGCACAAATAAGGATATTTATTCTACCGAGGGCAGTAATCGACTCTGTTGTCGAATTTCAGAATAGTTGCTCGAATGAAAAAGACAGTTTGGTTGACCTTATTCGTTGCAGTGACGACGCCAATATTTCGCAACCATTCACCCAGCTTTTGCAGTACGTTCCAAATTTTTACGCAATAAGGAAAATTAATAAGCCAGGTTTTGACTTAGAGGCAGAGTGTAATTATTCGAAATTTGAAATGCACATCGAGTGCTATGTGGGGCACGACTTTAAGGTAGAAATGGACGAGAATGACCGACTCAATATGACTATTTCCTCTTACGAGTCACTCTACTCGAACCTGTACCAATGCAAATCCTTGCGTTTCATACCACATGAAAATGGTTACGTAGCTCTCTCCGACTATAGTGACGCAGACGAATTGTTCTTTCCAAACGTTGAAATCCCTGAAGACGAATTGTCATTTGAGGAAAATCGATTCATAATTTTATCCGATGAACCCGGGATGGGCAAGTCAACAACGGTGGTCAAGCTGGCAAACAAAATTTTACAACAAAACATAGGCACGAGCCATATCCACTTCTTAATTCTTATCGAACTCAAAACTTTGCAAAATATAGGCTGCATAGAGCTAAATGGGGATAACTTCATATCCAGTTTTGTCCATTGCATTTCTGCCAATCAAAAATTTAATGAATTTTCGAAATTTCTCTTGCGTAATATCATTTCTGGGGGGAATGCAGTTACAATTATAGCGGATGGATTCGACGAAATGACGCAGGAAAATAAGGAACTTTGGAAAAATGTGCTCCTTCAGATTCGATTACGGACAAAAATTAGAATAATTATCACGACCCGTCCACACGACGCAAATATGTTGCAGAGCACTTTATGCGTCCTGGCGCACACATTTGTTCCACTGGAAGAAGACGAATCTATTGAAAAGAATGACAAAATTCAGTTTCTTGTAAATCTGTGGTCCCCTGCGATAAGGTGTAGAAACGAAGATAATTTATACTCGGACCTTACACTATTAACAGAATTTGCGACTCAGGTAATCTTTCAAGCACACACGCATCTTGTTAAGGGCAGAGAAAGGTTTCTCGGGGTTCCCCTGCAGTTGAGAATTTTGTCCGAAATATTTCTCCCCAACGTAACAGAATATGTCGCCAGTGCAGGAGAAAGAGGGGGGATTGAAGACTTAAAGGGAAAAATATCTCTGAGTTATATTTATCAAAAATTTATCGATCGGAAATACAATATTTATCTCCTACATAAAAATTTTCTATCAAATGCATCCATAATAGATAGACACGTGTCAAGGAATTTGGACGAACGTATGTATAAAATTGCTGGTGAGGTAATTAATTTTGGGGAAAATTACGACTCATTAATTATTCGAGCTTGTGGGAACAAATTACTATGTCCGGATCAGTCCGATATCGACGATATTATACGAGTAGGGCTTGTATACGAAGATAAGGAAGCACACAATCTTCAATTCATTCATCGCACGTTTGCCGAATTTTACGTAGCAAAATTCCTCGCCGATGTAATAAATCGTCTTTCTTCCCATGCAAATAATTCTTTTGAAGAAGATTCCAGACTAGTTACGGATATATTTTTAAAGCACTCAGATAAAATTTACGAGGTTATGCCATTTATGTTTTTAAGTGACATGTTAAAAGCGAGATTAGCAGAGGGCTTAAGTTATACTAATTTTCCAAAGTTTAAAGATAACGAGAGACGGTTAGATTACCTGCAATTCCTTGTTTTTGATGCGAGGGCTTCTGATCCGCGAAAACTAGGGGGTGTCAGCTTTTCGTACTTGATCGATTTTCTGGTAAGCACTGTAACCCTTTCTGATCTGCATGTAAAACCCATACTAAAAATAGTTAATTTCCGTGTATCACTACTTTACACGCATGGTTTGGAACCATTTGTTTCGATATTTTCAGTTCTTCGTAGAATGTTAGAGACTGAGGGTGAATTTAGAGATATCAAATGGTTGTTTCACTACGATGCAAGTAGTGAAGATATTACCAGTATAGATATTACCAGCAAAGATCTTTCCAATGAATTCAATCCAAGTAGAGAAAGATTAGTCTCGGTTAATTATATGATCAAAATATTTGATAAAAATGCAAATAATGATTTCAACTTGAAAAAATGTATATTGTTGGATCCAATTGCGTACATATTTTTTACGGATGAAAATATAGAAAAATTTATTAATTGTATAGAGAATTATGTCCGTGGAATCTCATTTTCACCAGATAGCATGGAATTGCCATATTGGGATAAAGTTTATATTCCTATCCGTAAATCTTGGTGTAATGCAAACGGATCTATTGATGAGAGTTTGATTGAGGTAATTGAAGGCAGATCAGGACTTAAGTTTTCTGATGAGGAGAAATATTATATGACGCATAGTGCATAGAGAGGAAACTTTATTTGCTGCGTACATACATGTATGCATGCAAATTTAATAATAAAATGTATGTAAATACTCGGACCATAAGTCCACATACAAGCGTTTTTGGTGATAAATCACAAAATATTAGAGCTATTTGATAGGAATTTTTATGCATGAACAAAACACTAATATTGTTTAGAAATCATAACTTGGTTTGCAAGATCTCGTCCACGGGCTTGTATGCAGGACATAACTCGTGACGATCACCGCTCGCTCGCGGCACGCGCCGTTTTCATGGGAAAAGCGACCAGATCTTCAGCAAGTGTGACATCAGGCCTTCCACACTTGTGTGAGATTTAGTACATACTTGTATCACAAATTTTTACCACCAGTCATAATTTAGGGGACTAAGGTCTGCAGATGCTGAGGACCATTCTTGGGATGAAATAAAGTCAGAAAAAATCGTATGAAGCCATTTTTGGACAATTTTTGCACCATGCTTACCATCAGAGTTTCATTATTTGATTCGCATAATCCAGCACGATTGATTGATTCACACTCGTTTTGTATTGAGCCCAAGTCGACCTTAAAAAATCAGATTACATAATTCCAATTTCCAACAATACTTAGATCGAAATTGTACCGCATTTACCACAACGGACGAAGCAACATTGTTTGATCTGGAAGTGCGCTAGGTTTTTTATAAAACTTGTAGAAATTGTCTTGATGCACACTTTTCACGTTATCACCAACGCAAACCGTGTATTTCAGTGTTACCACGTCTCGCTTATTGTATGGATGAAAGTCCAATGTTAGTTTTCGAAGAGTTCATGGTCCAGGGAATTAACTATTAGCTTGTAGATACTCTGAAAATAAGTATTGGGTCGAACTTGTACCATTTGCAGCAAACAACAGAGATTTACGTTTTCCAGGCAACTTGCTGCTGTCAGATCCAGGGCGATAAGTTCTGCATACTTAATGGAATGTCAGGCATCCGTAGAGAAAATATCTGACCATTTCGTTCCATTAAATTTTTCCCCAACGGTGAAAAGTCTGAAATACTTCTTTCATGGAAACGACGCGTGCCGCGAGCTAGCATTGGGCGTCATGAGTTATGTCTTGCGTACAAGCCCGTGGATGAAATCTTGAAAAAGGAGTTATGATTTCTAAACAATATTAGTGCCGTGTCCATCCACAAAAATTTCTAATAAATAGCTTTAATACTTTGTAATTTAACACCAAAAGCGCTTGTACGGGAACTTATGGTCCGAGTATGTATGTACTTACATCGATGCCTTTCAAAATTCAGGTTACGAACCAAAACATGGTTTTATATTCTTAAAGTTTTGTAACTTTACGCAGTTGTGAACATACGAAAGCTTACGTGAACCTACTCGTTGGATAGTGCGATTAGGGAAGTCTATTAAAATCTGTTACAAAAATTTAAATATTAAATAAAGTGTATCGGTACAATTTTATTTAATCCATTGGCTTAATTCTGCAACTATAAATTGAGTAATTTAATTCTTACATACGTATTAAACAAA